TGTCTTCTGGCCTCTGCAGGAATTGTACACATGTGCACTTACAGACAAAACACTCATACCATAAAAAATAAATAGCCGGGCGTGGTAGCGCACACCTTTAGTCCCAGCACTCGGGAGGCAGAGGCAGGCCGATCTCTGTGAGTTCAAGGCCAGCCTGGTCTACATAGTGAGTTCCAGGATAGCTGGGGCTACAGGGGAGACCCTGTCTCAAAAAGACCAATAAAATAACATAAAAAATAAAAATAAATAAATAAAAATATTTTAAAAAGCCAGATATGGCCATAGGCATGCCTTTATACAACCCCAGTGCTGCAGAGGATAGGGCTAGGGGGTTTAATTAGGGCTTGCTGGCTGCCAGCCTAGTTCCAGGTTCAGTGAAAGACCCTGTTTTGATAGAATAAGCAGAGAGTTATAGAGCAGGACACCTAACATCCTCCTTTGGCCTCCACATTCTCATTCACACACATGTGCATATATGTCACACTTATATACACTCACAAATAAAATGAAAAATAAAAGAAAGATTAAATGAATTTCTCAAAGCCAAGAGCTAATGAGCATGGAGCCGGAATCCAAACCTAGTTCATCTCTCAACTGGTATGTCTCATAAAAATGATAAGAGGGTGTCTGCATGATCCAGGTTTCCAGGACCTCAACTCCCACTCTCACCCACTCATTCATTCACTATGTTAGCTAGTTCTTTTTTTCTTTTTCTTTTTTTTTTTTTTTTTTTGATTTTGGTCTTTTTGAGTATCTACAGTGTGTCAGGACCTACGCTGTAGTGCCTAGATTAGATAGGGACATTGCCCTCTTGGAACTTAGGGTCAAACAGAAAGTTTCAGAAAGTTTTGGAATATCCTGATTTGTGGGAGTGAGCAAAGAAAACTAGGCACTCTAAAGCAATGATTTTAGAAAGCAAAAATGTTTTCTTTTTTTTTTTGAAAATAGACTCTCAAGTAGCCCAGGCTGGCCATGAATTCCTGATCTTCCTTCTACCTGCAAAATGCTGGGATTATAGGCATATACCACAGATTCAGTTGCTTTACTTTTTGAGGGTGTTTCTATGTAGCCCTGGCTGGCCCTAAACTCATGGCAGTCCTTTTACCTCAGGCTCCTGAGGGCTGGGATTATAGGTATGTACAGCTCTGCCTAGTCAGAAGATGAAACTAAAGAAAAATGTCAGAGGTAAAAAAAAAAAAATAGGATTTTCTGTTCCCAGTGCAGGATCCAGTATACATCAATTATATTTGTTAGCCTGAATGTGTTCCCCAAAGTACATGTGTTGGGAACTGAATTCCAATGCAACAATGTTGAGAAAAGGGACTTTGTCAAACATGGATCAAGGGAGCTGGTCATGACAGTCAGATTATCCTAACTCCCAACCAAACCTCTCTGCAGCAACATTACCCAGAATGAGCCCCTGCTGCTGATGCAAGGCATAGCTCTGACTGGGTTCAAATCCCAGTTCCTCCACTTAAAGTAGCTATGTGACTTGGGGCAAGTTATCTAATTTGTCATGGCAGACTGTATTACAATACTGACCTCATTGTGTTAGTGAGTTGCTGTATGTAATGTCCTAGTGGCATGGATCAAGTGCTCAGTAACTGCTGGCCATTGTTGTTGTATGAAGTCTGTGCTCAGAAGAGTGAGGGCTATTGAAGGAGTCAAAGGGCCATTTCCTCACCAAGAGTGTAGTCTAAGGAGATGTTGACAAATGGTCTCCAAATTACCACATGAAAGCATTGACAGTACAAACCTTCAGGTCATGTTACTGCACAGCCCAAAGGAGAAAGCACAGGTATTTTGGCAAGCCCACTAAGTTTCTGACCTCAATTCTCTATATAGGCTTTATTTTCATAGCTGTATGTATCAAGAAGTTACCATATCCAACACTGCAGACCAGAACATTTCCATCATTGTGCACAGTTCTGTTGAGCAGCACTGGACTAGAGTGGCTTGTTTGTTTGTTTGCTTGCTTGCTTGTTTTTTGAGATAGGACCTTACTATGTGGTCAAGGCTGGCTCAAACTCAAACTCAAGAACCTCCTGCCTCTGTTTCCCCAGTGCTGGGATTATAGATGTGCACCACTGGAATGACTTTTTAGTGATAGGAATAGAGATAGTTTTTTTTTTAATTTTATTGTTTTTATTTTATGTGTATGCGTGTATTGCCTGCATGTAGGTAAATGAACCTGTGTCATGCAATGCCCTTGGAGGTCAGAAGAGGCTCTTGGATCCCCTGAGACTGGTGTTACGGACAGTTGTTAGCTGCCATGTGGGTGCTGGGATTTGAACCTGGGTCTTCTGTAAGAACAACCACTGTTCTTAACTGTTGAGCCATCTCTCCAGCTCCAAGATAGTTTATTTAAAAAGAAAGGCACTCTTGGGGGCTGGAGAGATGGCTCAGTGGTTAAGAGCACTGACTGCTCTTGCAGAGGACCTGGGTTCGAATCCTAATACCCATATGGTCACTCCAGTTCCAGGGAATTGGGCTTCCTTTTCTGACCTCCACGGGCATTGTATGACACGAGTGCACTTACATACATGCAGGCAATACATTCATACACATAAAAATAATAAAATTTTTTTTAAAAAAGAAAGGCACTCTCAGAATGGAAAGGGGATCAGCAAGATGGCTCAGTGGATAATGGCACTTGCTGCCAGGCCTGACAACTTGAGTTTGGTCTTGTGGGACCCACATGGTAGAAGAGAGCTGGCTCTAACAGTTGTTCTATAACCTATATGTACTGCCCCCATCACACACACACACATATATATGCACAAAATAAAGAATAAATAATTGTAAAAGAAGAAAAGAAAGCAAGTAGGGGTGATTGTGCATACCTTTAATCCTAGTACTCAGGAGGCAGAGGCAGAAGGATTTCTGTGTGTTTGAGACCAGCCTGGTCTACATAGCAAGTTCCAGCCAGCCAGGGGGCTAGGTATTGACCCTGTCTCAAAAACCAGCAACAACAACACAACAAAAGCAAAAGAAGGAAGGAAGGAAGGAGGGAGGGAGGGAAGGAGGGAGGGAGGGAGGGAGTAATTCAATCACTCTTATTAAAATCCTTGGGCTTCCTCAGGCATGTCTCAGTTTCATTCTGGAGACGCCACATGCAGCCCTGTTGTCAGGAGGCTGCTCTTGTTTACCTGTTCAGAACGCTTCCCTCAGAATTCTGGGTGGTTCATCATCCTCTTCACTGCAAAACCAACTGACCACCTTCTCTAAACAGTCATGGATGACTAGATGACATGGATGCATGAGTAAGTGGATGGATACATGGATGATGTGAATGGAGGATGTGATGGGTCCATGAGGGTAGTTAGATGCATGCATGCATCCATGGGTAATGGATGGATGATGGATGGATGCATGGGTGAGTGAATGAAAAGAAGGAAGGAAGGAAGGAAGGAAGGAAGGAAGGAAGGAAGGAAGGAGGGGAGGGGGGAAGGAGGGAGGGAGGGAGGCAAAGAGCTGGGAAAAGTCTGCAACTCAAAAGCCTAGAATGATCTTAATGGTTCCCTGTAGCAGTAGGAGTGATTTAAGTGGCAGATACATTGTGGGTCAAGTTTGGAATCTGTAGACTGAGAATGGCCATATGAAGGGCAGGACCCTAAGAGATGGGCCTGGAGAATGGGCTTCAGGTGTGCCAGATCTCCCACTCAGAGCTTCTCACGCTCATGTTCCCCACTACATGTCCTAGGCAAATTGCGGCATGTGCTGAGCATGGATGGCTTCCTCAGCTACCTCTGCTCAAAGGACGGAGACATCTTCAACCCAGCCTGCCTCCCTATCTACCAGGATATGACTCAACCTCTGAACCACTACTTCATTAACTCCTCTCACAATACCTACTTACTGGGGGACCAGCTTTGTGGCCAAAGCAGCGTTGAAGGATACATACGGTACAGTGGTGGTAGAGAAGGGATCCAGCTCCTGAGATGGACCTCCTGTGGGAAACTAAGGGATACTGCAGGCAGATAAAAAAGGATTGAGGATAGGTGGGGCTTAGGGGCTGAAGATCTAAGACACTTGGAGAAAATACTGAAGATTAGTAGAAAAATAGTAATGAAATCTTATGGATAAATGGAATTCCCCTCTCTTTCATAAGCTATGAAACTCTCAGAAGTCAGAGGCCCCGACATTTGTTTTAAGTAAACTGAATGCTTTAAAGGGAAGGCAGTAGAACATAGGAGTTAAAAACAGGTTCTGACAGCCGGGTGTGGTGGCACATGCCTTTAATCCCAGCACTTGGGAGGCAGAGGCAGGTGGATCTTTGTGAGTTTGAGGCCAGCCTGGTCTACATAGTGAGTTCCAGAACAGCTGGGGCTACAGAGAGACCCTGTCTCAAAAAGAGGAAAAAAAAAAAAAGAAAAGAAAAGAAACCAAAAAAACAACAGCAGCAAAAAACCAGGTTCTGGAATCAGTTCATTTTTGGTCAGATTCTAGCTCCCTTAGTGTTCTGGGGATAATTAACCTCTGTATAACTTGGTTTCCCTATCTATAAAGTGAAGATGATAATGGTGTCTAATCTGTCAGGGTTATTGTGAAGATTAAAGGAGATAATCTGTGTGTCAGTAGCTAATAAGTGGTAGTTGCTTTTATTGTGATGCATCATGGATGAGACTAAGTAGTGTTATAGAGCTAGCAACTGACCACGTAGCTTGAAGCATACAAAAATAAGTGGATTTTTTACTCAAAAAATGAGTGAAACCTCCAAGTTTTCAGCTTAGGCAGTATAGTTGTGAGAATAGGGGCTGGGAATGTAGCTCAGTGGTAAAACGTGTTTGAGGCCCTGAATTTAATCCCATTTGGAGAGAGCGAGGCAAACTGGGTATAATGGCACCCCTCCATCCCAGTCTGCAAGAATTGCAATTCCAGTTTACCTGGGCTGCATAGTGAGACCCTGTTTCAAACAATAAGATTAATGAGAGAGAGAGAGAGAGAGAGAGAGAGAGAGAGAGAGAGTTTTCTAAGAATTTGAATGACCCAGGTGTTATATTGGTACACACAACCAGAACAGTGGAGGTATAGTGAGGCAATGTGCAATATGCTAAGGAAGACCATGCATTGGTGCTGTGTGGAGATCAATGTGAGAGGCAGTCATGTCCCAGTAGACCAAGAAGCCGCCATGGTAATGTTATCTGAAGGGGTCTAGATAGATAAGTGATAGTGAGCACTGTTCTTTCCAGAGTAGAGAGAGGATCCTTAGGTGGAAGATCATATCTTGACCTCTCCTGCCTCTTGGGGCTTGGGGTTCTTGCAGGGCCCTGAAGCGGGGGTGCCGCTGTGTGGAGGTGGATGTATGGGATGGGCCTGGTGGGGAGCCCATTGTTTACCATGGACATACCCTGACCTCCCGTATCCTGTTCAAAGATGTCACGGCAACACTGGCACAGTATGCCTTCCAGGTACTAGCCCCAAGTTGGGAAAGGCACTAAATAAGGCAAGAGGGTTTGAGGGAAATGACTGTCTCTAGTGAGGGTGGAAGGAACTGGGGACAGTTATTGCAAGTGGCGTGATATATATAAGAGGTTTTAACTCTAAAGCCTCAGACAAATATTAAGGGATTATTATGACTAAGTGTTGGATGTGTTACTACTAATAAGTATTTATATAGGTAATTACTAGTTGTAACTTCTTACAAAAATTTATGTTACCTATCTGGGAGAGGGTGGATAGGGAAACAGAAACAGTGGTACATTGGGCTGGGGGACAGTAGAAATCTAGAGATGAAAATGTGAGTATAATGTGAGCTCATAACTAGAGGGATGGCCTGTAACCCATACTGAGCTTGAAAACTCAAAGGTCTCAGAGGGACCTGGGTCAGACTTGGCATAGGTATAAGATTTGGGGTCTCAAGAGTTTCCCAAAGAGGGGACCCCAGATCCATCAAGTTCTCACTGAGCCCTGTAATGGTATTGTAGAAGTTTGGTATTTAGTATACTCATTTGAGCTCATGAGGGTGGGGGGCTAGGAACCCAGGTTTTGGAGAAGGAGGTTATAGGGTTTTAGAACTCTGAATGCAGCATCTCCTTTTCTCACCAGACATCAGACTACCCACTCATCCTGTCCCTGGAGAACCACTGCAGCTGGGAGCAGCAAGAGACTGTGGCACGACATCTGACTGAAATACTGGGGGAGCAGCTGCTGAGCACCACATTAGATGGGCTGTTCAATCAGCTGCCCTCACCAGAGGTAGGGACTATACTGTGGCTTCCACATTCCCTTACCACAGTTTCCTTCTTTCTATTTTCAGATGGACCATCTTGCTCTTTTTGAGGGGGAGGGAGTTCTTTTTTAGTCAGGGTCTCCCTGTAGCCCCAGCTGGCTTGGAACTTGCTGTGTAGACCAGGCTGTCCTTGAACTCACAGAGATCCGCCTGCCTCTACCTCCATCTTGTTCTTTAAATGCCTATAGACAAGATTTTGCTTTGTTTTGTTTTGAGACAAGGTCTCATGTAGCTGGGCTGGCCTCAAACCCCATATGTAGTCAAGGCTGGCTTTGAACTACTGATCCTCCTGCTCCCACCTCCCAAGTGCTGGGATTACAGGGGTGCACCACCATGCCTGGTTTCTATAGTGCTGAGGATCAAACCCAGGGTTTTATGCATGCTAGGCAAGCACTTTACTAACCAAGTTACATCTCTAACCCTTAATATTTTCTAACATTTTCTTGATGGTTTATAATTTGTATAGACTTTACAAGCAACATAAAGAATATAATCCCAATTCTTTATAATAGTATCAGTAGATTCCTTTTCTTTTTCAAAAAATATTTTATTATTTTTATTTTATATGTAAGCATGTATTGCCTGCATGTATGTAAGTGCATCCGTGTCATGCAATGCCCATGGAGGACAGAAGAAGCTCTTAAATCCCCTTGAACTGGAGTTACAGACAGTTGTTAGTTGCCATGTGGGCGTTGGGATTCAAACCCAGGTCTTCTGCAAGAACGATCAGTGTTCTTAAGTGCTGAGCCATCTCTCCAGACCTCCTTTTCTTTTTTTTTTTTTTTCTTTTTCTTTTTCGGTCTTTTTGAGACAGGGTCTCCCTGTAGCCCCAGCTGTCCTGGAACTCACTATGTAGACCAGACTGGCCTTGAACTCACAGAGATCTGCTTGCCTCTGCCTCCAGCGTACTGGGATTAAAGGCATGTGCCACCATGCCCTGCCCTCCTTTCCTTTTTAAAATATTTTATTATTTGTTTATTTAGTGGCCGGGAAGGGGAAGTGGCAGTATACTTGCCATGGCATGCATGTGGAAGTGGAGGTCAGAGGAGAGCTTTTAGGAGTTGGTTCTCTCCTTCCACAGTGTGACAGGTCTCAGGAGGGCGAACTCAGGTCATCAGGTTCCTTGCAAGTGCCCTTACCTGCTGAGCCATCTCACTGGCTTAGTAGATTTATTTTCATCAATTTCTGGGCTTCATTCATGCTAAGCTCATGTTCTACCACAGAGTAGACCTTCAACTCCTATTTTTCTTTTTTTAAGACAGGTTCTCATAAAGTCCAGGTGAGTATCAAACTCACAATGTAGTTAAGGATGTGCTTCAACTTCTGATCCTCCTGCCTTCACCTCCCAAGTTACTAGGATTACACACCCAGTTTATGAGATTCTTGGGGCAAACCCAGGGTTTTGTACATGTTAGGCAAGCATTCTACCAAACGGAGCCACATCCCCAGGCCCTATCAAAAGATTTTCTAAAAGTTAAGTTAAACATATACATGTATGTATTCATATTAGAAAAATCATGAGTGAGATTATCATCCATATTCTTATAATATATAGCATGGGTTTCTTTTCATGTATATTTTCTTTGTTAATCGCTCTGTAGTGAGCCATTGTATGTTTTTGCCATTTATGGGCTATAATGTAATCAGTCGCACATTTGGTAAGAACTTAGGTTGTTAATAATTTTTTTTTTTTGGCCTTTTTGAGACAGGTTCTCCCTGTAGCCCCAGCTGGCCTGGAACTCACTATGTAGACCAGGTTGGCCTTGAACTCACAGAGATCTGCCTGCCTCTGCCTCCCAAGTGCTGGGACTAAAGGCGTGCACCACCATGCCTGGCTTGGTTGTTAATAATTTTCAACTTGTACATATAGCTTTGTCCATTTATTCTTTCTTTCTTTGAAATGGATTCCTAGAATTCAAAATTTCTGGGTTAGAGTTCGTATTTTAGCCAGATGTAGTGTTAATCCAATGCACTCAGGAGGTGGAGGCAGGAGGATCAGGAGTTCAAGACGAATCTCTGCTACATAGTAAGTTGGAAGTCATCCTGAAACACACATACACACACACACTGCATTTTGACAGTTTTAGTTTGTTATCACCAAGTTGTCCTCTAGAAAAAATACTAAATAATATTCCAACCAACAGAAGAGAATGACCACAAACAACTCCATGAGTGAGATGATTCATAATGGTAAACATTGAAAAGAAGGGCTTATGTTTTTTGTTGCTTTGAGTTTTTTGAGTGCTAAATTACAGGCATGCACGCTTAGCATTTTCTAGCATCCAGTCCTTCCTTAGTCTCCAGAGTGTCAGGACTACAAGCATGAGCCATGACTCCCAGCTTCATATCCCATTTCTAAAGGCTTTTCCATTATAATATTGTTCAAAGACATTATCTCTCTTCATATTCTTATATTCCTTATAAGTGCATATCCTTAAAGGAGTTTTTAGCGTGTAAAATATGAGGGAGAGGTTTTTCTCATAGGGTTAGAGATGTTGTTTGTTTGAAAATAAGTGACTCTCTGTATCAGGAATTATCTTTCTAGGAGAACTTCTGACGCCTCACTTTCTTCTTCTTTGAGACAATGAGATCTGCATTATCTTCAGGAGGGGCTCAAACAGACAAGTAGACAGGTCTCTTCGTTGTTGTCCCCTAGCTGCTTCGAGGGAAGATCTTGGTGAAAGGGAAGAAGTTAAGAATATTTGAGGATATTGTGGATGAAGAAGAGGAGGAACAGCTGGAGCCAGACCCCTACTGTGAGTCAGAGACTCAGCCTCAGCTTCAACATGAGACCCAGGAGTTAACCCCTAGGAACAGGAAAAAAAAGAAGGTACGTCAAGACTGGTCTTTCTGCCATGGCATTTAGTTAGCAAGCATCTCAAACTGAAGACTGGTTTTTGAAGAGACTAGAGTCAGCCAGGGTAGAACGTCAAGGAGAAAATGGCCCTAAAAGAAGCATAGGAATACATCTGTGGCATCACTGTATGTGATGCAGACCACATGCACATCTATCATACTTCTTGGGCCATGAAATCTTTTCCTTTTTTCAAGTGAAAACTTAAAATAGAAGCTTAGTATTCAAAATAGACAAATGTAGAATCATTCTAATTTAAACCCTCATTTGACTATCACCTGGGTCCTCGAAAGTGGCATGGGGAGGTTCAGGCTTGATGGATAGGCAGGTAAATTCCAAGAAAGAAGACAAGGAAGCTAGAGAGAGATGAAGGAGCTAAGTGACTCAGGACACATCTTTAAGACCCCCTCAGTGTGTGTGTGGGGCGTCATTTTATCGTTAAATAGGTGTTACTGGACCGATTGCTGTGATCTCGGCCTCAACTAAGTGGGCTTAGAGAACACTTCTTGGAAAGCGTAGTTTGAGTTTGGGAAGGAACCGGAAGTATCTGAGGAAATTTGAGATGGGGAATGTGCTCTATTTCTGTATGGGGAGGGAGAGGCCAAGGGAGAAAAGGATACCATTGGTAGGCCCTCTAAGATCCAGATTTGAAGTCTGTGCCTCTTTCTTTGTGTACTTTGCTTGGCTTACTCAGCTGACTTCTGGCTTATCCTGCTTTCTCTGAGGCTGTGGTGTTTAAGCCTGCTGCTGCTGTGTCTAGGCATGGCAATGGGAATTAAGGACATAAATCCTCAGGGCGTGTTGGTGCACGCCTTTAAACGCAGTACTCAGGAGGTAGAGGCAGGTGGATCTCTGTGAGTTTGAGGCCAGCCTGGTCTATATAGCAAGTTCCAGGCTAGCTGGGGTTGCAGGGAGACCCTGTCTCAAAAAGACCAGAGAGAGAGAGCGAGAGAGCGAGAGAGCAAGAGCGAGAGCGAGAGCGAGAGCGAGAGCGAGAGCGAGAGCGAGAGCGAGAGAGAGAGAGAGAGAGAGAGAGAGAGAGAGAGAGAGAAATCCAAAAATAAAACTCTGGGACCCTCATATCCTTACAGGTGTGAATTTCATGACTACCTCCTGTATAGTCTAGATTCATGTACATTTTGACCAAATATTATTGTTCATTTGTTTTAAGAGCATTAGGGAGACTGATGCCTCTCTGTTTAAAAACAATAAAGAAAGGCCACCTAAGATGTAACATAGACTAGACCTTCCAAACCCAGAGGCTGAAACCAAACCCAGCAGTATGTGCAGATTGCCTTTATTCCCATCCTCACCCCCAGGTTGTGATGTGCCCGCTGTCTTGTCTGCCTATCTGTGGTCATGTTATAGCCCAGCCTCCTAGTTCCATTCCTGAGTCCCTTCTCTTGTCCAAGCAGGTGAGGCAGGAGGGAGAAAGCAGTGGGGAGGCATCGGGCAGAGGCTCAGGTTGGATGGCCATTAGCTTCTCCCTTGCAGATCACTCCAGATTCAATACCATCTTCTTCATTTTCTCCTCCAGAATTCCACTCTCATCTTGTGCCCAGCCCTGTCTGCCCTGGTTGTCTACTTGAGGACAGTCTCCTTCCAGAGCTTCACTCATTCCAGGGAAAACTACCACATCTATGATATATCATCCTTCTCTGAGACCAAAGCCAGAAACCTTATCAAGGAGGCAGGTCAGGACCAAAATGGAGGGGCAGGGAAAGAAGTGGAATGGGTAGGTTCAGGTCTGATGGGTAGGCAGTAAGTCCCACAAACACGGACAAGGAAGCAATGGAGAGATAAGAAACTTCTCAGAACAGGCAAAGAGAAAAGTTACATTTATTATTTGAGACAGCCTCACATAGTCCCAGGGTGGCCTCAGTTGAGGATCATTTTGAACTTCTGATCCCTTTGTCTCTCTCTTCCAAGTACTGGGATTACAGGTGTGTACTACCACTCCGGGTTCATGCAGTGCTGGAAAGCAAATCCAGGGTCTACTAGGCAAGCACCAACTTACATGTCTAGCCCACAAAGAAAAAGATTTATGAATTGTGTGCAGAAGGTTCTAAGGGGAAGAAATCGGGGGGGCGGGGTGGCTGTGTTGGTCTGGATGGAACAGACTAGGGGCATACTGAAGCCTTTGGTAGCCAGCCTCGGATTTTGAGAAGAGTGAAGTAAATGGATAGGGTCCTTGGGACCAAGTTAATGGGAGTACCTACCCCAGGCAGACAGAACTTCCATCTCCCGTTTTTTTTTTTTTTTTTAATATTTTATTATTTTTATGTGTATGAGTGTATTGCCTGCATGTATGTGAGTGTACCTGTGTTGTGCAATGCTCCGGAGGTCAGAAGAGGGCTTCGGATTTCCCTGAAACTGGAGTTAAGGATGGTTTGTAGCTGCCATGTGGGTGCTGGGAATCGAACCCAGGTCTTCTGCAAGAACAGTCAGTGCTCTTAACCGCTGAGCCATCTTTCCAGCCCCCCTTCTCCTTTCTTGCACCTTTTTACAGGTAATGAGTTTGTGCAGCATAATGCCTGGCAGTTATGCCGTGTGTATCCCAGTGGTTTGAGGACTGACTCATCCAACTTTAACCCCCAGGAACTCTGGAATGCAGGCTGCCAGATAGGTGAGGAGGCAGCAGGGACAGGGAGGGAGCAGAGCAGCTAACGGGAGGTAAGTTCACTAGGGGAAGTTAAGGCCAGGGAATGCTTTAAGGAGTCTGGAGTGGAAAGGTGAGAAAAGTGGGGCTACCTGTTGAAATGTTTCCAGCAGGTACTCTGTTTTGAGGATCTTGCTCTTATTGTTGTAGCCCAGGCTGGCTTTAAACTCTCAACCCCCCGTCCCCTCAGTTTTCCAAACCTGTGCTACCTAGCCTCAGCAGGCACTCCTAAATTTCAAACTATTTTTATTATTTTATGTGTATGAGTGTATTGCCTGTGTGTATGTGAGTGCCCTCGGAGGTCAGAAGAAGGCATCGGATTCCCCTAGAACTGGAATTATGGAGGGTTATTAGCTGCCATGTGGGTGCTGGGAATCAAACCTAGGTCCTCTGCAGGAGCAACCACTGCTCTTAACTGCTGAGCCATCTCTCCAGCCCCTATTTTTAGTTAAAAAAAATTTTTTTATGTTTGCCTTGCCTGCATGTATATAAGTGCATAATGTGCACTTAGTGCCAAGGACAGAAGACAATGACTCTCCTGGAACTGGAGTTACAGGTGATTGTGAGCTGCCATGAGGGTGCTGGAAATCCGAACTCAGTGAGTTCTCTTAACCACTGAGCTGGCTCTCTAGTCCCTCCTGTAAGGCACTCTTACACCATGTCTTCTTAATCCTGAAAGGGGCTAGAAGGTTGGGAATGTGTCTGTATGCATGTAAAACACACAACCACATATGTATTGTGTGTGAGAGAGACAGAGACAGAGAGAAAGAGACAGAGAGAGTGTCATGCTACATAGTCCTGGCTGGCCTAGTACTTGCTATGTAGACGAGGATGGCCTTGAACTTGTGGCAGTCCTCCTGACTGCCTCCTAAGCTCTAGGGTTTATAAGTATGCACCACCATGTCTAGCTCCCAAGGTGAATCTGTTCATTTTTTCCTTTCTCCCCTGGTTCTCAGTGGCTCTGAATATGCAGACTGCAGGGTTTGCCATGGACATCTGTGATGGGCTCTTCCGCCAGAATGGTGGCTGTGGCTATGTGCTGAAGCCAGAATTCCTGCGTGATACCATGAGCTTCTTCAATCCCGAGAAGCCCATCAGCCCTTTTAAGGCCCAAACCCTCTTAGTTCAGGTATGACAGAAACTATTGGGAAGAACCTGGGATAGCTGGAATAGAAATGGAAGAAAAACTGAACTTATTTGTCAGGAGGGTCATTGGTTGAAAATTCTTTATAAGAGGATAGCCTGATTCAACAGCACAGACTTTGGAGTCAAGGGTCTAGTTTCAAACCCACTTCCTAGTTGGGTAATGGGCAAGTTCTTTAATTTGAACTTCAGAATACTCATCTGCAAAATAGGGGTAATTCCACTACTTACCACACAGGGTTGTGATGACTGTGTTAAGATCATGTGCTTATAACTCCTGGTGCACAGCAAGTGCTATAGAAAAAGCTGTTGTCACTAGCATAGCCGCTTTCAAACTTTAAAGTTCTGTTCTGATTCATTTAAAATTTCAGGTTGAATATTAGAATAAACTACCTATGGAGGATTAGTTTTGCAAATTATGAAGCTATAGTGCAAGTTCCAAAGTCTTCTCTGGGGTCTGAAGGGTGGGTGAAGGAGGGCTGGGCTGTGCAGTAACTCATGAAGTTCCATTGCCCTTGTTGCAGGTGATCAGTGGTCAGCAACTCCCCAAAGTGGACAATACTAAAGAGACATCCATTGTGGACCCACTGGTGAGAGTAGAGCTCTTTGGTGTTCCTGAAGACACAAGGCAGCAAGAGACCAATTACGTGGCGAACAATGGTGAGACCGGGTAGTTGGGGAAGAGACATAGGACTGCAGATTCCCTTCTATTTTGCCTTCCAGCAGGTGCAGTCCATGTGACTACACACCCCTGTGGGAGGCAATGTGGAACAGTACAAAGAATCCTGGTCCTCCCTTAGAGGTTCATGAATTGGGAAAATTGCTTTTGCCTTCTAAAATTTTAAAATTTTTATTTATGTTTATGTGTGTGTCTGTCATGTGTTGTGTGGGTACCCACAGAGGCAAGGGGGCATCGGGTACCCTGGAGTTAGATTAGAGGTAGTTGTGAGTCACCCAACATAGGCACTGGGAACTGAACTCGGGTCCTCCGGAAGAGCAGCAAGCACTGGCAATTGCTGAGCCACCTCTGCAGCCCCTGCTTCTGCATTTTGTACCCACTTCCTCACTATCTATGTTAAATGAGAACGCAGGGAAAGCAACTCAATATGGCCCTAAAGAAAGTCAATACCCATTCCTTTATTCTTCTCTACTTCAGGTTTTAATCCACACTGGGGGCAGGCACTGTGTTTCCACGTTCAGGTGCCTGAACTCGTTATGTTGCGTTTTGTGGTAAAGGATTATAACCGAAAAACCCGGAATGACTTCCTTGGTCAGTACACCCTGCCTTGGACCTGCATGAAACAAGGTGAGACGGTTGTGTTGGACCCCTGGCCAATATCCCAACCCTAGCTGCTTTCCTAATAGTCCTGCCCGTTTCCAGGCTACCGCCACATACACCTACTCTCCAAGGATGGCACCAGCCTTCACCCTGCTTCCATCTTTGTGTACATCTGCATTCGTGAAGACCTGGAGGTAGATGAATCCTGAGGTAGGTCCTCCATAGCAAGGGTAGATACAATGGCTTTAGATGGTGAGAAAAACCTAAAAGGATGCTTTTTGGGAGAGCAAAAGGTGGTGAAAACCAAGCTTTGGACTGTGCACTCCCAGGCACAAAATTACCATGCCCCCCCTTTTTCTTTTAAATTTTATTATTTTTATGTGTATGCGTGTATTGCCTGCATATAGGTAAGTGCACCCGTGTTATGCAATGCCTGCAGAGGTCAGAAGAGGCTGTCGGATCCCTTGGGACTGGAGTTATGGACAATTGTTAGCTGTCATATGGGTGCTAGGATTTGAACCCGGGTCTTCTGCAAGAACCACCAGTGTTAACTGCTGAGCCATCTCTCTAGCCCCACCATGACCTTCTTTAGCAAATCTAGGACCTGATCTCTTACCTTCTTTCCTTTTCTTGTTTTCATAAGCATTTATCTTCCTTGCCCTTTCCCTTCTGTGTCCTCTATGCTGGAATTCATTTCTTGCTCTTGCTCTAGGCTCGGCCCCATTCTCAGATCTACTGCTAATCTCTCTCATCAATTGTTGGTGCAAAGGCAGATTCCAACTAGAAACACAGAGGGGCTTGAAGAAGAGAAATCTACAGAAGCATTATTCCCTCTACCTCCTAACTTCCTCAAAGTCCAGAGCCAAGGAAAGGACATATCAAGGCTCAAGGTTGGGGAAAGATGTCTGACCCCAGGCCTATATGACTCTCCAGAGAACACCGCTCAGCCCTTAGTCTCCACTGGACTGCTGCTTCTTAGCTGGTGTAAATAGAGCTTCTCTCTCCAATTTGGCTCCTGTATGGTCTGTCATTGTTGGGCAAGAAGAGATATAAGGGCTGCGGGCATAGTCAGATGGGAAACGGAAAGGGTAGAGAAATTAAGTTTCCAAGGGCTCCTCCATGTACTATATAGGAAGGACACAGAAGAGAGACTTGTAAGGGGTGGGACAAAAGGAGAAAGGGTTTGTAGTCCTAGCCGTCTGCCTGAAATACTCTTGGAGCTTGTCCTCCCTAGTTATCTGCCTTTCACACTGCCCTGATGCTTGTACTTTAGGACACTGAGCCAGTCTTTGGACTGGTGATCAGCCACTTGCAGGACACTGAATGGGTGGTAAATCTTCTATTGACACACAAAGGAGCTTGGAAACAGGAAGCAAGGCAAGGCCCAGGACAGCCTTAAGGGCAGAGGGAAGGTAGACCTGGGTCTGTTTCAGAACCTCTCTGAGTGAAAGTGGAAGAGACAAAGGAACAGCAGAGTGGAGGCCTAAGAGGAGACCGGGCAAATAAGATAGGGACTTAAGTCTGTTAATGGGTAATTATTCTCTTCAACATGTTTTATAGAGCATTAGGCACAAAAACACATGCAATTATGTACAACTGTTTTGAAAATGTTGAAAGAAAATAGGGCTTGATACAGTAAGAAGGAAAAAGAAGATGAGGCAAAGAAAACCAAGACCTTATAGCCAGGGACTCTGGTGCAACAATGGTAAAGAAACTGGAAATCCATTCACAGGTTAAAACCACAGAGCTCCTGAAGAAATCAATGCTTAGGTCCATGTCTATCTTTTATAGAGCTGTTAATTTAAAAGAACCATAGTCAGAATCCTAAGGGGGTTTTGGTCACACTGACATCCCAAAGCCAGTCCTCCCTTAGACCCTGAACTCCTAAGGCTAGCTCCAGTCCCAGTTTGCACATCTGTATCTTCTTCCTGTGTAAGAGGTCGGGTAAGCGCTCAGCCCTCAGGTCCAGTAGGGGGAGCAGGAAGAGCAGGAGGGCTAGGATCCTCCAGTTTTACATCATGCAGATGTACTGTGGGGGTGGTGGGGTCTTTGCCCACACTCTGGTTGGGGTCAGTCTGGTCAGGGTGGTGCCTGCGCACATGCCTGACCACCTGGAACTTCTGCTTGGCCTTGTAACTACAGAGGCGGCAGAAGAATGGGTGGCAGTCAGTGTGGGTGAGAGCATGATGGCGCAGGCCGGCAGCCCAGCGGAAAGCACGGTGGCAAACATTGCAAACATAGGGCTTGGCTTCACTGTGCTTGCGCAGGTGGGTGCGCAGTAGGAAGCGTGTCTTGAAGGCCTTGCCACACTGCTCACACATGAAGGTCCGTGCGTCTCGGTGCCGTGTCTCCCGGTGCACACGTAATGCATCAGCCCGGTTGGTGCAGTACTCACACTCAGGGCACTGGTATGGCTTCAGTCCTGTAGGGCAAGGAACAAATGGAAGAGAGGAAGAATAAGATTCAGTGGGTCATAAAAGTCACTGACACTTGGATATAGAGAGCACAAGCAGCAACCTGACCAATGACCATCTTTATGTTCCAGTCCTGTCTGAAATTGCTGTGCTCTTCTCAACACAGTGATTATATACATCCCAATGGATGCTGATGACTAACTGGACTTCTAACCAACTAGCCACCTGATAGTAAGGAACACTGAACTGTGATAGTGTTGTTAAATAGGAAATTCCAACCCTGTTTGTCATGTGATACTACAAAATTTAAAGAATCCATTTAAACAATTTCTTTTAAAATTTTCTTTTAAAAGTTTTTTGATTGATTTTTATTTTGTTTTGCTTGCATGTATGTAAGTGCACCCATGCCTGAAATGCCTGTGGAGGCCAGAAGAGGGTGTCAGATCCCCTCGAACCGGAGTTAAGGACAGTTGTTAGCTGCCATGTGAGTGTTCGAAACCAAACCCAGGTCCTTTGGAAGAGCAGTGAGTGTTCTCAACCTCTGAGCCACCTCTCCATCCCCTAAACAGAATTTCTTACTAAACTCAAAAAATAAGGGAAAATGCTCAGAAGGGAAGAGGTAAAGATACTCCTCCACCTATGGGGGACCAGATGTAGTAATCAAAGGTACCCAATCACTAACCCTTTAGAGAGAACCTAGTTTGTGGATTCCATACACTGAAGAGGAAAAGAACATAAGAATAGGGAACCCACTCCTTTCTCCTTATTCATGGTGATTCTACATTTATACAGAAAATAAGCATCTCTCATTAGTCACTTAAAATTGAGTTGAAGGCTCTTGAGGTGTGAGTATGTGTGTGAACTTGTACCACAATCACCTGGGAAGCTTTTGCAAAGTACACTTGCCCAGGCTCTCAGGTTTAAACCTCTTCTTTTCTGATACACTGACAGTGTGTTGGGGACACTTTCTAGTACATACTCTTCCAGCCTAGCCCCTATAAAGGCTTTAAATCTGAGGTCAAGTTTGCTACAGAATAGAGGAACACTCTAAGACTATTGATCATACACTCACCTGTGTGCTTGGTCATATGATACTTGAGTTGGTTGATCCACTTACACTTATATCCACATTCAGGGCACAGGTACTTCCGTTCCTCCTTGTGGATTCGCATGTGGTACTAGGAGAGCAAACCCAGAACATGTACTTGTAATTTTTTTTTTTTTTTAAATATATTATTTTTATTTTATGTGTATGAGTGTATTGCCTGCATGTATGTAAGTGTACCTGTGTCGTGCAATGCCATGGAGATCAGAAGAGGGCTTCGGATTCCCCTGGAACTGGAGTTAAGGACAGTTTATAGCTGCCATGTGGGTGCTGGGAATCGAACCCTGGGCCTCTGCAAGCGTAACTGGAGTTAAGGACGGTTCATAGCCGCCATGTGGGTGGCTAGGAATCGAACCCAGGTCCTCTGCAAGAGCAGTCAGTGCTCTTAACCATTGAGCTATCTCTCCAGCCCGTACTTGTAATTCTTAAGTAGGAGTAGGCAATGAAACTTTGGGGAACCTTGTTCTCTAGTGCTGCCCCCTCCCCCAACTTACCAACAAGGAGCTTCAGAAAGAACCAACCCAACCTAAACTAACATTTTAGCTTTTCCTTAGGTCTACTCTGACTCTTAGCTCTCCTTCATGCAAGCTATGTTATTGGGTTTATCACATGGCAAGAATTATTACAGAATTTATTTTTACAAAAGCTTTGTGAAGTTGTATCATCCCTTTTACAGATGAGGAATCTAAGTCTTGAGAAGTTAAGGAACCTGTCCAAAGACACAGAGCTAATACATATAATAGTTTAGCTTATAGAATCCAGAGCCTACACCCTTTCTGTTCCCTGTCACGTGTTCCTTGACCTTACCTTGAGACGAGAGGGGTCAGCACAGGCATAGGAGCAGAGGTGACAGCGGTAAGGCTTTTCCCCAGTATGAATGCGACTGTGCCAGGTGATCTTCTGCCGGTTCTTGGTGCTATAAGCACAGTCGGTACACTTGTAAAGTCGGGTGCCCCCATGTCCCTTCACATGGTGATCCAGCACTAACTGATGGCGACATGCAAAGTCACAAAAAGGGCAGCATAGAGAAGGCTGTCCAGCATCTCTATCCCCATCAGAGGGTGCTGCTGAAGTCTCCTCGTGATATTCCAGGTAATGCTTCACCAGGCCCACTCGCTCACGGGCAGCAAAGTTGCAGAGCTGGCAACGGTGGCTGAAATGCTGCTGCCTCCGGTGTTCATCCAGTGCTGGCCGGCTAGGGAAGGCCTCCTGGCAGGCCCCACACTCCAGCCGTGGGTGCTGTTTACGGGTGTGTCCCTGCAGGCTGGCAAGGCTGGGGCATAGCAGGCCACAGTGGGAGCAGTGCAAGGGGCCTTCAGTGGCCTCTACAGGAGAGCCAGGGGAAGGGTGTGTGGGCTCAGGGTGTCGACGCAGAGCATGCTGCTTAAGTGCTGTTTCTGAGCTGAACTGGGCCTCACACTGAGAGCAGGAAAAGGACGGGGTGCCTTGGTGGCAGCTGTTGACATGGCGAGTAATGTCATGACGAAGATAACCACTATAGTCACACAGCGGACAGAAATGAGTGGGTGTTTTATCATGTACCCGAAGCTGGTGCAAGCGCAGTTTTGAGTTAGTACCAAATGTCTGGGGGCAGGAGCTACAAGGGATGCGGCCAACACCTGTGTGTCGGGACTGGTGGGCCTCTAACCTGTACCGTCTAGTGGTAGAAAAGTCACAGAAAGGGCACTGATGTGGCTTTACTCCCTCATGCTTGAGCCGCTGATGCTGCTGGAGGCACCGGCTTTGTTTGCAAGTAAAGCCACAGTCCCCACACTGCAAAAGGGGCCTGGGGCCAGGGACTGGGACTGTAATGGGGTGCCTCCGCTTCTGATGGAGCCTCAGGGCAGCAGCAGCTGGAGCAGTAAATGGGCAGAGGCCACAGTGCAGTCCTCCAGACTCTCCAAGGGGACAGCCTTGGGTCTGGTGACTCCTCAGGGCCTGTTCCTGCTGGCAGCTAAAGGGGCACATGGGGCAAGAAAAGAGAGTACCCTTCTGCTTCTGAGTTACAGCTGTATCCCTATCACCAGGGCTGGACTCTGTATTCCCACTATTCAGGGTAGCAGAGTCTCCAATGCTTAGGGGAGATACAAGAGGCTGGGTCCGGGTGAGCCTTCGCTTTCCTCCCTGGCCATGTCCCCCTCTGCAGCCTTCAGTCACATGAGAAGTAATAGAGGAGAGCCGAGAACAAAGGAAGGTGCAGGAGTTGCAGTGAAACTTGCCTTGCTCAAAGTGGAACTTCTCAGGGGTCCCTGTGGGTGAGGAGTTTCCTGCAGGAGGGGCTGGGGAGTCGGAGGGTGTGGCAAGAGGCTCCTCTACTCCTAGCTCCCTGGGGAGCTCAGGAGGATTATCTTTTGGAAGCAGCTTTACCTTTGATGGTGCAGGTGGGGGCTTCCCACTTTCAGCATCCTGTGAGGCTTGGCTACCTGGGAGCTGAGAGCATAGAGGACTGAGAGAAACTGATCTGGGCAAGCCCTTGTTCTTTCTGAGCAGAACAGGGCATTTCTTCAGCAGATGGGTGCTGAGGCCACGTTGTTGCTTAAAGCTAGCTCCACACTCAGGGCACAGCAGAGGCTCTCGGCGGCCCTGGCACCCTGATTTGGAATGCAGATTCAGGGCTTTCTCCCGGCGAGTGATAAAAGGACAGTGTGGGCAGCGGAAGGCTCGCCCCTCTCCCTGTATCACTACCATTTGTACCCGCCCCTCCAGCACCAGTGCCTCTGCTTGTTCTTTGTCCTGCCTCCTTAGGGCCTTAAGTAATGACTCTGACTCAGGAAACTGAGGCAAGGGTGCAGTCTCAGCAGATAGAGTTACCTTAAAGGTGTTAGGAGCCTCCTCTGAGGATGGAGGAGTCCTGGGGGGCTCAGAGACTGGCTTCTCCAGAATGGGCTCTTCTTCAGCACCCAAACCAGGAGTCCCAACACCTTCAAAGTTCGGCAGTTCTGGTTCTTCTAGTCCATCTGGATCCTCAAGTCCTAGTGGTCCTGAGGGACCAAGAGGCCTGAACTCCACAGGGGCTGTTTCAGTGAGCTCCTCAAGGGGTGGCTCAGCCACAGGTTCTAGCTCTACTCCCAGGGCCTCTAAGTGTAGTGTGCAGCTACCCTCCTCCACCTCCACAGGGCTAGGGCTGCCAACCAGATCATCCCCACGGGGAGCCTCACTGCCACCCTGTCTTCTGGTGCTGACCTCATCACTTGACTCTGGAAGAGCCTGGTCCAAGCTGGGATCCATCATAATCCTGTGTTCATGGTCTTGCCCCTCAGGCTGAGCTGAAAGCTGGCTTGAAGGCTCGGAGACTGATGGAGGTGCCAGGCCCTCCCTGGCCCCCACTGGCTCTTGGCTGGTATTGCGGAACTGCCAAACCTGGTCCCCTGGCATGTAGCCGTGGGCCTTTCGCTTATGGAAGAAGAGCGTGGTGTTGCTGAAGGTGCGGTAGTCACAGAGGGCACAGTGAAACTCACGGAGATGGGTGTGCTTGCAGTTCTCATGGCTCAACAGGGCCTGCTTGTGGCGACTCTGATAGCTGCAGTAGCGGCAGGGGTAGAGTGGGGCAGGTGTGCCAGGGTGGTGCTGGGAAGCCATGTGCTTCTGCAGCTCATACTTCCGCTTGCAGGCAAAGGCACACACCTCACACATCAGCGACTTGCCTTGGTGCCGCAGTTTGTGGCTGCTCAGCTGATCAGCCCGATGGCAGCGATAGGAGCACTGGTTGCACTGGTATCTGTCAAGAGGGGAAATGAGGCATCAACTGCAATAAAAAACTAATCCTGATAGCTAACAGTCCCTAAATTACTACTATGGGCCAGACTCTGCATGCTGTGCTGCATGTGAACCATCTAATTGAACTTATCTTTCCACTATCCCATGAAACAAGTATTTCTATTTAAATTTTCTTTTATTTATTTAATTTTTTAAGGCAGAGTGTCCCTGTAGCCCTAGCTGGCCTGGAACTCACAGAGATCTACCTGCCTCTGCCTCCCAAGTGCTGTGACTAAAGGTGTGCTCCACTGTACCCAGATTATTTTTCTTTATTTATGCATACAAGTGTTTTGCTTGCATATATGTAAAAGTGCATTGTGTGTGTGATGCCTGTGGAGGCCAGAAGAGAGCATCAGATTCCCTGGAACTGGAGTGCTGGGAACTGAGCCCAGGTCCTCTGTAAGACCAGTCATTCCCTGGAACTAGAGTTCATGTGAGTGCTGGGAACGGAGCCTGGGTCCTCTGTAAGAGCATTCAGTGCTCTTAACCATTGAGCCATCTCTCCAGCCCAAGTATTTCTATTTTATAGGCAAGGAGGCCAAGGCACTGACATTAACAGCCTGCGTAAGGGTTGTTCCAAAGGCTATGATGGGCAGAGACAGCCTGGCTTCGGGGCTGGTGCTCTACTCCATACTCTACATTGTTTCCTTTTTTTTAAACTTACGGTACTGGGGATTGAACTCAGGATCTTATGCATGCTAGACAAATGATCTACTACTGAACTTCTGTACTGTCTCTAAAGAAAAGTAACCATAAGTCAGCATTACCCATCTGACTTCTAAGGGACTGACATGGCTACAACCCCATGGGGCAGGTTTCTGTGCTTCATTCCCATTCCCCAATGGAGGCATAAAAGCTATAGACAAAATCCCTAGGCAGGTGTGTCCATAGATTACAAAACTTGTCTGAATCTTAAAATGTTCATCTGGTGCAATAAGTGTATATCCTATCCATTTTCCCAAGAACAGACTCTGAGAACTTGTGATTATTTTATTAATTTTTTTTAAATGTGGGTTCACTGAGCCATCTCCTCAGCTTCTCAAGTGACACTTTAATCTCTAGGTCTTTCCTCCTTCTTCTGGCCCTGACAACTTTCACCATATAGACTGGGTCATAGGCACAGGGCCCAAATACAGGAAATGAAGCTGAGATGGTAGGAGCAGAGAAGGGTGGTACACAGACTCTTCAGGGATTAGAGTAAGCAACAGGGCCAGAAGCTAGATTCAAGAGGAGGCTAAGTTAGCATAAAAGGTTCTTGAGACAGAGATAGAGGCATGCGTGTGCTCATACCTGAGGTCCCCTGCGTGTTTTCGCATGTGCACACTTAGGTAGTGCTTCCACTTGGTGATATAGCCACATTCAGTACACATGTAATCCTTGGTGTTGGAGTGGGTCAGCATGTGCTTGGAAAGGTAGCTCACATCTCGGCATGTGAAGTCACATAGCTCACACTTGTGAGGTTTCTCGCCTAATATTGGGTATAGGGGAAAGAACACAGGTCAGATATAGGTCAAGTGAGGGGCCAGACTATCTCTTCCAGCAAGTTTGCTGTGATGCCAGGCAGGAACAAAAGCTTTATGTGCTACCACGGATGTAGCAAACTTCAGAAGAAGCAAGGCTGCTTTACAGCTGTCTCAGACTGTTCCTCCAACTCCTCTATCAATGAGAAAGGGAAGAAAGACAAGACTGAGCTTTGTAAAACTAGCTCCAAAATCTACCTTATTTCTTTTTCTTTTTTTCCTAGAAACATTTTAATAACATTTTAGAAAAGCACACCCAATGATCTGGCATCCCATGGCTTTGTAAACAGTGAAGAATGTTACTTGTACAAGTCAGAATCTGATACCAATTAAATGAATATGCTCTTCCATGGCTAGGAAGGGAGACTGCCACAGCCGACAGGTCCCAAAGACACATGGAGTACCTCTGATTTCATAAACAGCTAGCTGGCACCTCTAACTCAATTCCTTCCAGTTTCCTGAATAGAGAGAGAAGAAATAGAACACAGTAATAAGAATCAGGACTCTAGTATCCAATATAGTAATAAGCATTAACAGCCAACATTGATACAATGCTCATTATATGTGTGCCTCTGCATTGTACAAAAATGCTTCCTCTCAATGAATCTCCATAAGATTTATGAGTCAGGTGCTACTATCTATTTTATAGGTGAGAAAATCAAGGCACAGAAAAATCATAGAGATACTGTGCAGCCTCAGTTTCCTTGTTTCCAAGGGGCGAGTGAGGGGGAGGGGGACAAAAATACTAACCTCACATGGTTAGTGTATTAAGTGCAATATTCCAAAATTATCAGTGGTACACAGTAAGAACTCAAGATAAGCTGTCCACATACTTGGTCAACATCTAGCACTAAGAGGCTAGTGGCCATGTTCCTTCAAGATACCTTCCTGTCCACCCAGCCACCTCTGTATGGTAAAGAGTGAGCAGTGTGGCCTTCTTGTGACACTAATTCTCTGTGATCTTATACTAGTTCTAAATCTAACTTCTCAGAGTTTCTCTCTTTTCTCATCTTTACCTGCCTTGCTTACAAGACTGTTAAGGATAAAATGGGGTAATATGTATAAAAGAACGCTATAAACTAATAATGCTACGCAGTCATAGGTCTTAGGAAGAACTTTGGAAACTATATATATATATATATTTTTTTTTTTTTCAACATACCTTTTTCTTTTTTTAGTATCTTATTATTTCATGCGTATAAGTGTATTGTCTGCATGTAGGTAAGTGCACCCGTGTCGCGCAATGCCCAAGGAGGACAGAAGAGGCCTTGGATCCCCTGGAACTGGAGTTAGGGACAGCTGTTAGCTGCCATGTGGGTGCTGGGATTGGAACCCGGGTCTTCTGCAAGAACAACCAGTGTTCTTAACCATGTTCTGAGCCATCTCTCTAGCCCCCAAGAAACTATATATTCTATGACTAAGTTGTATACAGAAGTTAACTCTTCAATGAGACTAAAAATGGCTTTGCCAAAAACTGTCTAAAAATTGTCCTTCTAACCAGTGTTTTCAATGGAAATTTGCTTAATGTTCCATCAATGTACAATGTTTACACAGATCACAAAGATGATGATGCTGTGGTAGGAAGCCTAATTTAGCTGTGTCATCTAAGGCTTCAGTAATGCTAGAAGTCTGAGATGAGCTGGGCGTGGTGGTGCATGCCTTTAATCCCAGCACTTGGGAGGCAGAGGCAGGCGGATCTCTGTGAGTTAAATAAGTACACCTTCCAGGTCACTAGAGGTGAGCATGTTCAATGACACAGATGCCCCTCTAAGGCAGGCCAGAATGTAGATGGATAACTGAGTATCCCCTTCTCCTGCTCCAGACCGTCCCAAAACTTGAATTATAAAAGGAAGTTATCTGTCCTGGTCTAGAATTCTTTAGTATAAAAAGCTAGATATTCACTTGTCTGTATCTGACTAGGGGTGGGCAGAATTGGACAAGTGCTTAAGGTACATGGATTCAGACACCAGTTTGACTACTTTATTAATCTGAATGACATTCAACTTATGGCTCACTTATAAACTTGGAGGTATGTCCATAAATGAGGTCAAATGAAACAATGCGTGCAACTGGCTTTTCGTGTGATGCCCGATATACAGCAAAATACCTTAGTTATGAGCCTCACGTCTTTATTACATTATTAGAAGGAAGCCATCTCACCGGTATGCAGCAGCATATGTCGGATCAGCACCCTCTTGTGGGCAGTGGCAAAGTTGCACTCAGAACACTGGTGGATCTTTTCATGAGCATGCATCTTGCCTACATGGTCCTGGTAGGCTACTGGGTTGAATGTGGCAAAGGGGCAGAAGGTGCACCGCAGCTCTTCACTGCCTGGGTGGCCTTGCTTCTTATGTTTACGAAACAAGTGCTTGTTGGAGCAGGCAAAGTCACAGTGGGGGCAGTGGAAGGCATAGTGGCTCTTGTGGTGGGCCTCCATGGCTTCAGCTGTGGCAAAGAGCATGGGACATGAGTGATGGCGGCACTCCACAGCTCGCACTCCATGGGTCTCCTTTAGGTGCTTTATAAAGGCCTTCCGGTCAGGGGCTACATAGCCGCAGCCCTCCTGAAAGCAGTGTAGGGGCAATGGCTCTGCTGCAGCTGCTGCTGTGTGGCTCTTGAGATGCTCCTTGAGCGCTTGGCTGAGGCGGAACTCCTCACGGCAGACAGGACAGGCATAAGTGTCTGAGTAAAAGTTGGAAATGTCCTCATGCATGCTGGCCATGTGGCGATTGAGTGCATTCCTTTCCACTGCACTGTAGTGGCAAAGGGGGCAGCGGTGGGCCTTCTCACCCAGCTCCCGCAGCAGATGGGTCTTGAGTTTGCTCTTGCTAGTGAAGAACTTTTGGCAGTTGGGGCACTGGAGGCTTGGGTCTGGAAAGTGAAGATGTAGGTGTTCTACCAGATGGGTTCGCTTCTTAAAGCAGCGCTTACACTCTGGGCACATGTGTGTCTTGAAGAGGGACTCAGTGCCAGAAGCCATATTCCCTGTGGAGGGAATGAAGAGGGTTAAGAATGAGATTTTTCAATAGTTCAGTGGCTGGCCAGATAATGGGAGTCAGTTTGCCCAGACACAAACATTATGTGGTCTTTCTCTATAGGAAAACCAAACAACAGAGTCTCAAATGTTGTCTCCAAGAAGAGGTGAGAAACCCAAGTATTAACAGAAACCAACCACAGGGACTTCTCAGACCTTCTTGTGTCCTGTTATAAGTGCTTGCTTGAGTCACCCACTATTCCTGAGCCTCTGTTATTCTTGCCGCCCTTGCTCTGTAGGGGCAAGCAGCTACACTAGCAGGGTCGATGAGAAAGAAAGAGCCCCAACATAAGTGAGCAGAAGGAATGCTAATGTACTCTAAACTTTAAAATACTTCCTCATTGAGCTCTATGTCATTGAGAGCTGGTAATAAATCCAATCAGATCTTTCCTATTCATCTAACATAAATATGCTCCCTATGAGTTGGTTTAAAATGTTCTACAGAGTTAAAAACCAGGGAGCAAAGACTCAGAAAAACATTTTAGGAAGCTAGGCAAAAGAGGTCAAACATCAATAACCTTTGGTATCTGTACTATGAATATAATCCTCTTTCCCTGCAAAAGAGATATCTGAGAAACCCTGCCCACACAGACAAATTGTATTTAACCCTGTGTTACTAAAGCACATGGCCTATTTATCATCGCTCACTAGACCTTGGCTTTGGGTTTTTTGTTTTTTTTTTTTTTTGTCCTTAGGATTAAATTTAAGAGTTCACACATGCTAAGTACTCTAGTACTGAGCCCTAGATCTTGACTTTTGAGTCTAAGTGGAACAGAAAGAATGTATGGATCTGAACCAAACCTCAGAAGACTAATCTGCAGTGTCTGAATGTCAGGCTCTCCACTATTCACTCCTCCCCACCACCAAGAGCTTCAAGCTTGGTGCTGGTCTTACCGTCTAACTGCTGAGCCCTTTGGCCTTTATCCAAGGCTTTCTGGGTATCCTTCTGAGCACCACTCTCCTCTTCCTCTGCATCCTCTTCTTCAGCTGACTCTTGCCCAGGCAAAGGTGTACCTGCTTCCTCAGAAGGTTCTCCCTCTCCTTGAGGCAGTTTGGGTGCTGGAGATAAATAAAACTTGAAGTTCACAGAGGTCAATGACAGCACTGAATGCTTGTGCTTTACTTACTGGCAGGCAGAGTTATCCTTTTCTCCTTTAAGCAGAAAGGGATGTTGGGTGTTAAGTGAATATATTTTTATTTGAGACAGGGATATGAATACCAGAAGTTTAGCTCTCAGCAAAAATCCAGTCTAAAAAGTTTAATTCAAGATATACCAGACTCAGACCCCTTGAAGATCAGAACTTTGAAGTCAACTAGGGAGGAGGTGGGGGTTAAGAGACAGAGAAAGATAAAATGTACTTCCTTGGCCCAAGTCCTCAGGATCAATGGCTGAAGCAGCTCAAGGCAAAGAAACATACTCTGATTGTACAACTATTCTGAGAAGCCCAATTTGGTGATTCAAGGCCCTAGCCTGCCCCTCAAAGACCTTCTTTAGACATTAGAGCAAGGAGCTCAGCAAGTCAAGTTCTCATACCACAGCCCTGTCCTCTCCTAGTCTATTTTCTCTATTTCCTGCTCCTCCCTCACATCATGCTGTGATGGTTTGTTTTTATTTATTTTTAAATGATATTTTTAAAAATGTTTTTTATTTATTATTTTTATTTTATGTGTATGTGTGTATTGCCTGCATGTAGGTAAGTGCACTCGTGTCGTGCAATGCCGGAGGAGGACAGAAGAGGCTGTTGGATCTCCTATGGACAGTTGTTAGCTGCCATGTGGGTGTTGCGATTCAAACCCAGGTCTTCTGCAAGAACAGCCAGTGTTCTTAACCACTGAGCCATCTCTCCAGCCCATTTTTATTTTTTTAAGACAGGGTCTCACTGTGTAGCCCTGTCTTGCCTGGAACTTGCTATATAGACCAGGCTGACCTTGAACTTACTGAGATACCTCTGCCTCCCATGTGCTGAGATGTAAAGGTAAGTGCCACCACACCCAGCCCTTATGCTGGTTTGGGTTTTTTTGAGACTAAAAGGAGAAACTGATATTGAAAAAGCACCATCCTTCTTGAGGTTTCTTTTTTTTTGGGTCTTTTTGAGACAGGTCTTCCTGTAGCCCCAGCTGTCCTGGAACTCACTATGTAGACCAGGCTGGCCTTGAACTCAAAGAGATTGCTTGCCTCTGCTCCCAAGTGCTGGGATTAAAGGCGTGTGCCACCATGCCTGACTGAGGTTTCTTTTTAAAATAACCCTACTGTCTGCTCCGTCTCACTTGTCCTTTTTATTTATTTAGGGTTTTTTTTTTTTTTTTTTTTTTTAAAAAGACATGGTCTCATGTAGTCCAGGCTAGCCTAGAACTTGTTATGTAGCCAAAGATGACCTTGAATTTCTGGTCTTCCACCTCTCAAGTGCTAGGATTACAGGCATGTGCCAAAACACCTAGCACTAGTCTCACTTGTTCTGAAGGGAATTTACATTTTACTAGTGACATAGCCACTGACAAGCACTTTCACTTTTACTCTCAGAAAGCATGGTCTGAAACGGATCAGTAGATGATACTGCTAAAGTAATTTCATATCACATTGCCTAAGCCAAATTTCACTCAGTGTCATGGAAAAAGGCTTTCTTTTGTCCCATGTATTCTAACAGTAGTTCACATTTTCTAGATGCCTTCCCATATCATCCAGTAATTCCATCCTCTTGAGCCACTGTCTGTACTCCCTTATAGGACATTCATACTAGAAACAAACATCTCTCTTATAAGGGAGCAACTATGGCTACATCCCAGGCATGAAACTGGCGGGTCCCTGGCCTCCTACCTGGCAACAGCTCCTGGGATTGAAGACCCTGAACAGCAGAAAGTTCTCCCTGTGTTCTGGCTCCATGGCTCCGCTGATGCTGCCGGAAGAGTTTGATGTTGGAGCCCATGAAACTGCAATGGCTGCAGTGGAAAGGGTAATGGGCTTGCCGATGCAGCTCCATTCCCTGCTGGCTCCCGAAAAGCAGGGAGCAGCCCCGGAATGAACAGGGCACAGGAACTGCTTTGTGGGTCTGTCTCAGGTGATGCTGCAGACCCTTGCGATCTTCAGCAGAGAACACACAGCCAGACTCTGGACAGGAAAATGTGTTGGGAGTAGCCCGATGAATCTTGAAGTGGCTCTTCAGGGCCTGGGGTCGGACAAACTCTTGTCTACACACAGGACATAGCAGGGGACTATCTGGTAGGTTGGGGTCCTGCAGAGGGCCATGGAGGGCGAAGTTGCTGGGGGGCAGCTCTACAGAACATTGGGGGCTAGACAGGTCCTGCACAGTCTGTGTGGGGGTCTCAGTGCATTGGTGCAGGGACAGCAGAGTGGGCTCTGCAAAGCTCTGTTCACAGCGCTCACAGAAGTATACCTCCACCACCTTTACCAGGACACCTGCAGGTAGAGGACCGACAGAGAAAGGCACAGAATCAGATGGAAGGAGACTTGCAGGAGTTAGTCACTAGAAGTGTAGGCAAATCTTTTCATAGTCAGGAAGTGCAGATGGACTTCAAGTCTGCCTCTGCACCTGGACTGTCATAGGTAAAGGACAGCCCGTCTGGCATGTGTGTATGTATTTCTAGTGCCTGGTACAATACCTGGCAAAAGATGTGTTTAGTAAGTGTATTAATGGATCAACAAATAAACCCAGAAAGCATTAAGAAAAAGCATTTGGAGGGGCTGGCTGGCTTAGTAAAGTACCTGCCATGTGAGCATAAGGAGTTGAGCTTGGGCCCCTAGTGTCCATGGAAAAGCCAAGTGCACTTGTGTTTATCTATAACCCAAGCACTGCAGAGACAGACAGATTCCAAGATCTTATTGGCTAGTTAGCCTAGCCCAGTCAGTGTGTTCCAGGCTCAGTGAGAGACCTTATCTTAAAATAAGGTAGAGAGCCAGGCGTGGTGGTACATGCCTTTAATCCTAGCACTCAGGAGGCAGATCTCCGTGAGTTCAAGGCCAGCCTGGTCTATATAGTGAGTTCCAGGACAGCTGGGGCTACAGGGAGACCCTGTCTCAAAAAGAACTACAACAACAACAAAAAGGTAGAGAGGCTGGCGAGATGGCTCAGTGGATAAAGGTGCTTGCCACCAAACCTCATAACCTGAGTTCAATCTCTGGAACCCACATGGAAGAAGGTGAGAACTCCCACAAATTATTCTCTGACCTCTTGGTGGCACATACACACTTATATATACGCACAATGACAAACTAGAGTGAATATCTGTAATATAAATAAAAATCTGCAAAGAAATCTTTGAAGACACAGGAATTCATACAATGGAGAACATTATTTTTCAAAAGAGCTACACCTCTCTAATCATTGCTACTCATTTTTAAGGAAAGCTTAGACCTCTGACAAAGCTCTTTTGGCCCTCTATCTGCTCTATGAGAAGGATGACTTGGGATTCAAGTTAAGGCCATGCTTGTTAGTGGTAAAACCGTGACTCTAGGTTGTCCTAGCTTACATTTGTTTTGCTGGTTTTTTTTTTTTTTTTTGAGACAGGATCTCCCTGTAGTCCTACCTGGCCTGGGACTCACTATGTAGACCAAGCTGACCTTGAATTCACAGAGATCCACCTGCCTCTACCTTCCGAGTACTGGGACTAAAGGCATAAGTCACCACGCCTGGCTTGCTGGTCTTTTTAATCTTTATTATCTTCTGTTTTTTAACGTTATACTTATTATCTTTTTGTTAAAATATTTTATTTTTATTTCATGTGTATGCATGTATTGCCTGCATGTAGGTAACTGCGCCCGTGTCGTGCCATGCCCACGGAAGACAGAAGAGGCTGTCAGATCCCCTGGAACGAGTTACAAACAGTTGTTAGCTGCCATGTGGGTGCTGGGATTCGAACTCAGGTCTTCTGCAAGAACAACCAGTGTTCCTAACAGCTGAGCCATCTCTCCAACCCCTTATTATTTTTATTTTATGTGTATGAGTGTATTGCCTACATGCATGTAAATGCATCCATGTTGTGCATGGTGCACATGGAGGTCAGAAGAGGGTTTGGATCCCCTGGAACTGGAGTTATGGGTGGTTGTTAGCTGCCATGTAGGTGCTGGGAACTGAACTCAGGTCTTCTGCAAGAGTAGCCACTGCTATTAACAGCTGAGAAATCTCTCCAGCCCCCTGTTGTTATTGTTTTAAAACTAGTTTTTCCCTTTTATCACTTGCTCTGTATAAAAAAAAATTTTTTGAGATGACCTTTTTTAAAAAATTGCATTTCTCTGTGTGTGTGTGTGTGTGTGTGTGTGTGTGTGTGTGTATACACGTGCATGAGGACATCTGCACGTGCATCTGAGAGTGCCATAGCACACATTTGGAAGTCAGAGGACAACTTGCATAAGTCTGACCTTCCACTATGTGGATCCTGGGGACTGAACTCAGGTTATCAGGCTTGGTAGTAAGCACTTTTACCTGCTGAGCCACTCTGCAAGCCTCAGTTCATGGTATGTCAGAGCACTGATGAATCAAAATGAAATTCTGCACTAATGGACCATTGAGCTTTCCTGCCTTATATATCCCACCCCATGTGCATATGTGTCTTCCTATAAGACAAGGTTCTAGAATGGAATTACTAGGTCAGTGAGTGCATGGTATAAAATTTGCTATGTAGCTAAACTGACCTTCAATTAATTTGGGTTGGAGCTACAACTCAGTGGTTCAGCACTTAGCTAGAAAGTACAAAGACATAAGTTCTATATCCCAGCACTGGGGGGGGGAAATATATATATATAATTTTACATTCTCCTTAAGTTGCAAGATAGTATATATATCCCAACACAGCCTGTCCATCTCTAGAAATTATAAAAGATGTCTAAATTTTGCCAAAACAGAGAAGCAAAAATGGCATTTATGTGAGATTAAGCATTCTTCTATCTGGCTATTGCTCATTTTTTTTTTTTAGTGAATTGCATTTAGATTCCCTCTCCCCTCTTTCCCAGAGACAGGATCCTGTTATGTAGCCCTGGCTGGCCTGGAATTCACTATGTAGACCTCTGGCTAAGAACCTGAAGCAATCCTCTTGAATACTGGAATTACAGGGCACACCATAACACCTAGCTTTTTTCCCCCTTTCATTTTTTAAAATGATAAGCTCTGAATTTTAAAGACAGTTACTTTTTTTTCTATTAAACATCTATTTATATAAAATGTGTGTGTGCCTGTGTGCATATGCCAGGACACACATTTGAGTCAGAGGACAACTTGCAGTATTTGTGGGTCCTAGGGATGGAACTCGGGTCATTAGGCTTGGTGGTAAGTACCTTTACCCACTGAGCCATCTCACCAGACCCCTTACCTTTCTTATCTGTTAAAATGTTTCAATCTATTTTTTTGAGACAGGGCCTTATTATGTAGCCCAAGCTGCCTTTGAACTCATCATGTAATCTACTCATGAGGTTTTTTTTGTTTGTTTGTTTTTTTAACCAGAGAGACTTTTAGAAATATTACACGGTCAAATTAGCTACTCTTTCCCAGCATCCCATACTACTAAACTACACTGCTTGGATAAAGGTACAACTGTAACTGGAAGACAACAGTTAAAAAACAGGGATTTAGCTGGGCATGGTAGCACATGCCTTTAATCCCAGCACTTGGGAGGCAGAGACAGGTGGATCTTTGTGAGTTCAAGGCCAGCCTGGTTTACATAGTGAGTTCTAGGACAGCTGGGGCTGCAAGGAGACCCTCAAAAAAAAGACAATCCCCCCCCCGAAAAAAAACAGGGACTTAAAAAATAGAAGTTTCAGATATGGAAATAATAAAGAGACTCTTTGGCTAGAATAAACATTAATGTTCAACTTCCCTCCTTGTAACTACAAGCCTTACATGAAATAAGGGCAAGGAAATACCAGTTACTTCTGGAAAGCCCTGCTGAGCCCAGGTTGGTGGAGCACGCTGGGCCTCTTGCCTAATTACGGCTGGTGTAGGGTCAGTATAGATGAAAGAATTCCCCAAGGATTATAAGAGCAAAGACAAGCCAGAACTGGGCAGGTGTCAGAAAGGTTTTCTCTTCTGGACTACTGCCTGATAGACACAAAGCTCTCATAGGGATAAACTTTGCTAAAGCTTGCTACAAGGTTGTGTACTATACTGCCAGCTTTCCATCAACATGTACCAACTGCAAACCAAATTACTACATCTCAAGGTTTAAAATAGCATGCTAGCTTGTGTTCTCATCATATTCATATAACAGGATCAAAAATAGCACAGACAAAAACCTCAGGGCTGTGTCCCACTGGCCTGGTAGCAGCTCTGTTTGTACCTGAGGTCTCTCCAGGAGCTCCTGGGGACAGGGTTCCAGCTACTGCTTCCACAATGATCTCCATATTCCCTGGGCCCTCTTCAGTAGCTGTTGCCTCTACTAGCAGGCAGCCTGGGTCAGCAGGCAAAGGTGTAGGGTCCACAGAAGCACAGGTATTCTGGACAGGACCCAGGATTCCACCATTTGAGAGAGGTGGAGGAATCAGCAATAGCTCAGGGCACAGTCCATCCGTCTCTCCAGTGCCATTGGCTGGCTGGGATTCCAATAGGGGGTCTGTCATCATCATCAACTTGTGTGTTGAGGCCTCTTAAATGCTGATAAGTCAATTAGAAGAAAAACAAAATATGGTTAGAGTTCTTAATTTCTCCCCAACTGGCTTGCCCATTTAGGCGTTTTCTTGCATGGCAGCATGCCACACTTTATTATCCTAATTTTCTGTTATAACATTTAGAACAAAAGTCTAAAACTGATAATGGGGTCAATATGAGGAAAGAACCAACAAGTTTGGGTCAACTATATGATTATAGGTTCTGGGGCTGGAGAGATGACTCAGCAGTTAAGAACACTGGCTGCTCTCTTGCCGAGGACCCAGGTTTGGTTCTGAGCACCCACACAGCAGCTAACAACTATCCATAACTCCAGTTCCAAGGGATCTGATGCCCTCTTCTGGCCTCCACAGGTACTATACATACATGGTACATTCACATCCATGCATGCAAAACAGTTATACACAGTAAGAATTAAAAAAAAAAATTTTTTTTAAGATTACAAGTTCACCGGGCATGGTGGTGCACACCTTTAATCCCAGAACTTGGGAGTCAGAAGCAGGTGGATCTCTGTGAGTTCAAGGCCAGCCTGGTCTACAATAGTGAGTTCTAGGACAGCTGGGGCTACAGGGGGATCCTGTCTCAAAAAGACCAAAAAAAAAAAAATTACAGGTTCTGTTCACTAGCTAAGTAACCACTGCCACATCATGAAGCAATCTGAGTCTTGGTTTTCTTAACTGCAACAAAAAAGAGGGGTAAGGGAGCTCAAAGGCCCCTTATGCTCTTACTACCTGATGATCTCATCATTTCTCAGACCCCTCCCTCATGATCTGGCCCCTACTGACCTACCACTCCAGACAAATCTCCTACCTCTGTTTTCTTACCCAGATGACTTGCTAGTCTCCAGACTCATTACATTCCATTTTGCTTGCAACCTTCTGTTCTTTTCTTTCCCTTGGCTTGGTAGGCCTTTTCAACCCTTCTCAATCTCCTGCTTAACTAATCAACTATACCTATTCCTTAAGGAAGTGTACAAATATCATTTCCACTATGAATGCTTCCTGACATTTTAAATTTTCTCTTTTCTGGTGTCCTGATGGAACTTTGTACATGGTTTTAAACATGATCAGAAACTGTATCACACTATACTGTTATTTACCTATCAGCCTCAATTCATAGATGTATATATAGCCCAGTGTAGTTTCAAATATGGTGGGTAGCTGATGATGATCTTTAACATCTAATCCTCCTGTATCTACCTCCTGAGTGCTGGGAATATGGATGCACACCACCACATCTGGTTTTTTAAGCAGTGCTGGGGATCAAACCTAGGGCTGGGGAATCAAACCCAGGGTTTCTGGCATGCTAGGTAAGCACTCTACCAAATGAGTTATTATACATCCCCAGTCCTGAATGTGGAGCTTTTTGAGTAGATTACTGACATTTTCGCTTCAATAAATACAAAGCACTGACAAGCTAATTCAAATCAGACAAATGAAAATTCTAGCAACAAGCTGACTAGATATCTTGCACAAAAGGTATCAAATCAGTGGTTCCTCACATTCAAGGTAACACATCTGGAGAAATTTCAAGTCAACTTTCACTTTCTTTTTTTTTTGTGAGACAGGGTCTCACTCTACACTGTCCACAGTCCTGGCTGGCCTGGAACTCCCTATGTAGACCAGGTTGGCCTCAAATATGCAGCGTTCCACCTGCCTCTGTCTCCCGACCGCTGGAACTAAAAGCATGTGCCACCACACCCAGTCTGAACTCAACTTCCTAAGGCGTCCATCTGGAGTACAACTGAGAAACGGCAACTCAACAGTTAAATATGGCTGAGATGAATAAGTAGAATAATTTTTGTAATTCAAAAGAATGACAGTAATCAATTCATGAAACTGAGTTGCTAAGGCTGTGTAAGAGCCGGGTAAGAACTTCTATTTTTTATTCTCCAGAATGCCTCCACGCAAAAACAGCAAGCACAGACAGAGATTAAGAAGGCGGCAAGTGCACTTCCGTGGTCAGAGAGACTCTTTGGAAACCACAGCCTCCACTTCCTACATACTATTGCTGTTCTGGCCAGTCTTCCAGCTCCGTGGTACATGGCCTCATGGGAAAGCCAAAGAAGATGCGACCCCGAGAGGAGAGCGGTTAGCCAGAGTGAAGACATGTGCTACCTCTGAGGCAGTCGAATTAAGGGAAGGGGAAGGGAAGGGCTGCGAAACAAGCACGCCCGGCCCAGGCACCCAGGTTTCCACTTGTCTCTTTCTGGCCTCTGACTCACCGTGTGGTCTCGAACAGATGCAGTAGCCTCGCTTTTCTGGGCATCAGCTTTCCAGTGTAGGCGGCAGCATTCACATTGTCCGTCGGGAGCTGGATCACAAGAATCAGCGAAAGGGAAAGGAGTTTTGTAAGCCTGCAAGGCTTGGGATGGTGCATCGTCACGATTATGATCCTTAGGAGAGGCAGCGGATCCCCAGGCGGGGCCCAGAGCAGTGACGCGGCTGAGGCGCTGTTCCGCGGCGGAGATGCGCGGGGTCCCTGCTCGCCGGCGAGCTCCCTTCAGCACGTCCTCCCTCGGGTTCCTACGGCCCAGGCCCGCTCAGCCTGCAGCTCGAGAAACTTTTGCCTCCAGCTAGCTCCACCCGCACTTCCCCTGGTTCCCGCCGACAGCTGCTCTCTCACCTTCCAGCCCAGGGCCGGTGAGAGCCGCATCTCTGTGGTCGCCCGCAACTGGAGCGGCTCCCCAGGACGCCTCTGGTGACCGCCGCCGGCCCAGACGCCTCCAGGAATCAGCGCGAGGAGGCCGCTCTATCTCCTCGCCGCCCGTAAGTACTCTACGGTTTTTCCTCCAAGTCCTACTTCCTACCCTAGCTCGGAAGCCCAGGCGGGACCATCGAGAGTGGCGGGGCAGAGTGGCAAGGCCCGCCTGGTGGGTGTGGCGGGAAGTAGATGAAAGGACTCTGGGGCGGGGCTGAGCGGCGTGGAAGGGTGGAAGGCCCAGCGAAACCATCGAGTAAGGAAGGCCAGAGAGTCATGGCGGTAAGGAGGCGGAGTGACAGTACTCCAGACCACGTTCCTGGAAGCGCGAGCTGGGTTGTGGAGGGTGTGCGGGAGGTGGCTGCTGCATGTTAGGCACCGGAACCCGGGACAGAAGAGCTTCGTCCATGGCTCTGTATGCACAGGTGTTTTGGAATTCTGGATCCCAGCTCTGAGCTTTACGGGAGGTCACTGCTGTCAAGTCACCGACCGGCGTGCGAAGCGCTGGGCTGTGTCGGTGGAGGAGTGTCGCTGGAGAGGTGTGCTAGAAATAATCTGTCCTTTTCCCCCTCGGGTTCTTACTGTCCATAGTTAGGCCTAGTCACATTTTATTGGGTTGCATTCGGGAAAGGCTCCGTGGAAGAAGTATTCTATGGGATTTCAATTGATGGGAATGCAGGAAATAAAGAACGGGCATTTGGGAGCCGGGCATGGTGGCGCATGCTGTAGTCCCAGCACTTAGGAGGCAGAGGCAGGCGGATCTCTGTGAGTTCAAGGCCAGCCTGTTCTACAATAGTGAGACCCTGTTTCAGAAGACCAAAACAAAACAAAACAAAACACACACACACACACACACACACACACACACACACACACACACACACACACACACACACACAAACAAACGAACGGGCATTTGGAACCAGGAGAACTGAGTGAGCAAGGAGGTGGGTAGTGATTTACATACTTGTTGAATTGGGAGTATTTGAAGCACAATTATGTAAGATAGATGCCCTAATGTGGAGGGCCCTGTGTATCAGGCTGAGGAGTTTGCATCCAATAGGAGCAAGTCAGTGAGGGTGCTGGAATAAAGACAGTGACAAAATTGGAGCTGATCCTTATGGAAAAAGGTCTGGATCTGGGTATAGCAGTTCGATGATGCAAGAGTGGAAGGCCCATTCAATGCCATTTCAGGAACCAAAATTTAACTTGCATGAAATAGTTTAGGTGTGAATAAAGGTCTGAGCAGGATATTAAGAACTAGGTATAAGGCAGACATTTCTGGTGACAAGGCATGTGGTAACTGACAGATCAATAGAAAAACCACTTGACTCCACCAGCCATTCCCAGGGACTAGAAAAATTCTGTTCATCTAGTTCCTGATGTGAAGCCAGTTACACTGCTCTCTTGGACTTGAGGAAATCTCCAAATAGGACCTTATGACCAAAGGCCTTCTGTCTGAAGAGCAAAATAGAAAGAAGTGCCTGAGGTGTTTGCTCTTGCATTCCAACATTCCTACTCTCCCAAATGATACTGAAGCTGACCTGTTTGTCCTGCTTCTGTAGGAGCCCAGGAGGTGGGTTTGGGACATATGGTGGAATCTGGTTTCTAAAACTAACCTTGAACTTTGTCTCATCTCCATTACTCCCCATCCTTAGGTTTTGACAGCACCTCAGGGCCTGTAAGCATCTGTGTTTTCAAGATGCCATTTACAGACTTTGTTCTGGCCTTGAAGGACAATCCCTACTTTGGGGCTGGATTTGGACTGGTGGGTGTGGGCACAGCTCTGGCCCTGGCCAGGAAGGGAGCCCAACTGGGCCTAGTGGCATTCCGGCGCCATTACATGATCACACTGGAAGTCCCTGCTCGGGATAGGAGCTATGCCTGGTTGCTTAGCTGGCTCACCCGCCATAGTACCCATACTCAGCACCTCAGTGTTGAGACCTCATACCTTCAGCACGAGAGTGGCCGCATCTCCACCAAGTTTGAATTTATCCCCAGCCCCGGAAACCACTTTATCTGGTAAGATTGGGAGCCAGGAAGGGCTCTGAGAATAGGACAGGCTGATAGGGGAACTGGATTACTTTGACTTTTTTTTTTTTTCAGGTATCAGGGGAAATGGATCCGGGTTGAACGAAGTCGAGACATGCAGATGATAGATTTGCAGACAGGGACTCCTTGGGAATCTGTCACCTTCACGGCCCTGGGCACTGACCGCAAGGTTTTCTTCAACATCCTTAATGAAGGTGTGGGATGATCCAGGCAGGCTTCATATGGGGGCATCAGGGGTGAGGGGTTGGGCATTAGCAGCTTGGAGAGGAGGAATAAGGATCTGAACCCTTGGAAGCAAGGCTCCAGGCCAGAGCTCTCCCTAATTGAAAGATCAGCTGTGATCAAGAGAATTACTGACTTTGTCTCATCTCCTTGCTCCCAGCTAGAGCCCTAGCCCTGCAGCAGGAGGAAGGGAAGACAGTGATGTACACAGCTGTAGGTTCTGAATGGCGTACCTTTGGCTATCCACGACGACGGCGGCCTCTGGGTTCTGTAATCCTACAGCAGGGTCTGGCTGACAGAATTGTCAAAGACATCCGGGAATTCATTGATAATCCCAAGTGGTACATTGACAGAGGTGAGAAGCACTGGGATCTAAACTAGTCTCTAGCCACATGAGGTTATTGAAAACTCTAGCCCAGGATAATGCCTGTGAGGATAATTTCTTCCAATACCAAGACCACCAGACTACTAGGCAACAGCAGAGGATGAATGTGGATGCATGGGACAGAGTATATGATTCACTTTAGGGCTTGTTTATTCTGGTTATATCTCTAGGCATTCCCTACAGACGTGGCTACCTTCTTTATGGGCCCCCTGGTTGTGGAAAGAGCAGTTTTATGTGAGTAGTCAAAATTCCCTCTTAACTCTGCAAAACAGCTTTTACAGAAAAACTGGGCTATGGGGTTGGAAAAGGGAAGTGAATCTGGGAAGCAGGAATCAGGGTAAACACTACATGTGCACAACATTGGGTAGGTGGTAAGGGACTTAGGCCTCTGAGATACCTCCTGGGACTCCCAGAGAGTCCCCCAAGTTGCCTACCACCTCCTGCCATGTTGTTTACAGCACAGCTCTGGCGGGGGAACTGGAGCACAGCATCTGTCTGCTGAGTCTCACAGACTCCAGCCTCTCAGATGATCGGCTCAACCATCTGCTGAGTGTAGCCCCGCAGCAGAGCCTAGTGCTCCTGGAGGACGTGGATGCTGCTTTTCTCAGTCGAGACTTGGCCATGGAGAGTGAGTGAGGGTGCTTGGGAGTGTTTTAAATTATTTAGTGTGTAGCTGGGAGTGGTGGCGCACTTTAGTCCCAGCACTTTGGAGGCAGAGGCAGGTGGATCTCTGTGAGATTGAGGCTAGCCTGGTTAACCATCTTACTAGCACCCAAAAGAAATGATCTCAACTTCCTGACTCCCCCAAAGCATGGAAGAAGTGGAGTTTTGCCACTTCTTCAGTGGACGAGTGCCAGGCCAGCTGGGGTTACAGAGACCCTGTCTCAAAAAGACCAAAAAAAAAAAAAAAAAATTATTATTTAGTGTGTACATGTACATAGGCACACAAGTGTGGGGGTCAGAGAACAACTTTTGGGATTCAGTTCTTGACTTCCACCTTGTTGAGGCAGGGTCTCTCTTGATTCTGCCACACTGTATATTCCAGGCTTTTGGCAATTCTGTCTCTGTTCTATCTTGCTGTGTGAATTCTTAGATTACAGATATGCCCCACTGCATCTGGCTTTTTACATAGGTTCCTAGGATCAAATTTAGGTCTTTAGGCTTGCATAAGTAGCACTTTTACCTGCTGAGTGATCTCACCGTCATAGGGAAGTGGTTTTTTTTTAACTTTTTATTTTATGAGTGTATTGCCTACATGTGTAAAAGTGCACCTGTGTCATGCAATGCCTGAGGAGGTCAAAATAGTAGAAAGCAGAAATTTCCAGAAGGCTAATGGAGGATGCCTACGTTAAGAGGCATTGATAAGTAGGGAGCTATGTGGGGAATGGGGCAAGATGTTAACCTTAAGAAAGACATGAGACCACCCATGTTTCTGTTGTTCTCTAGACCCTGTAAAGTACCAAGGTTTAGGGCGTCTCACCTTCAGCGGATTACTCAATGCCTTGGATGGTGTGGCCTCCACTGAGGCACGCATTGTGTTCATGACCACCAACCACATTGACAGGTAAGGAGCAAGGCAAAACTCCACTTCTTCCATGCTTTGGGGGAGTCAGGAGGATGAGATCATTTCTTTTGGGTGCTAGCAAGATGGTTGGCTGTGACTCTGCTTCTCCTCTTAGGCTGGATCCTGCCCTGATACGTCCTGGGCGAGTAGATCTGAAGGAGTATGTAGGCTACTGTTCACACTGGCAGCTGACCCAGATGTTCCAGAAATTCTATCCAGGACAAGCACCTTCCTTAGCTGAGTCCTTTGCAGAACATGTCCTTCAAACGACATCCCAGATCAGTCCTGCCCAGGTGCAGGGCTACTTTATGCTGTATAAAAATGACCCTGTAGGGGCCTTTCATAATGTTGAATCTCTGAGGTGATCCACCAGGTCACACTCTACTCTCAAGAAATCCATAAACACCTGCCCACTACTCTGGTCTCTGACCTTCCTTCCTACCTTACTGTATTGGTACTTTAGTACAAAATGGGGACTGTAACACAGGTGCCTATAAGATATACATATACAAATGATGGGGCCATGGCCTAAGGCAGGGAAAGAAGACACCAAAAGTAAATGGGAAAATATATGCCTTCACCTAAAGCCACCCAAGACACATGCACATAGCCAGGTGTGGTGGCACACACCTCTGGCAGGAAGATTGCCACAAGTTCAAGGCCAGCCTGAACTACATAGTGAGACACCCTGCCCCCCCCCTTTTTTTTCTCTAAAAAAAAAACAAGGGGCCGGGACTGGAGAGATGGCTCAGCTGTTAAGAGCACTGACTGCTCTTGCAGAGGACCCAGGTTTGAGTCCCAGAACCCACATGGCAGTTAACAACCATCTGTAACTCCAATTCCAAAGAATCTGACGCCTTCTTCTGACCTCCATGGGCATTGCATGACATGGGTGCACCTACATACATGCAAGCAATACACTCATAGACATTAAAAATAAACTAAATAAAATACAAAGTCTATGAGTATTGATTTTTATGAACTCCTGATATCTAAGGCATAACAGAACCATGAGATTCTGACCTCCAAGGCACTGCACAACACAGGTGCACTCACATACATGTAGGCAATATACTTGTACACAAAATAAAAATAATAAAGTATTTTTTAAAAAATTAAGGGGCTAGGGATGTAACTCAGTTGGTAAAGTACTTGCCTAGCATGCACAAAGCCTGTGGTTCAATCCCCAGCACTGCATAAACTGGGTGTGATGATGCATGCCTGTGATCCTAGCACTCAAGGAAGATCAGGAGTTCAAGGTCATACTCTCAGCTACATAGAGTTTGAGATCAGCCTGGGCTAGATAAGACCTAGTCTCAAAACAAAAAAACCCAACCAACCAATAAACAAAGCATGCATGTAAATAATGGATATTTACAGTGAGTTATATGTTATGATGTTTCCTAAGGATTCTGCCCCAATGTTAACCTCCCTAAAAACTGATCATGCTAGCAGAAGTCAGACTCTTTCTACCCTGATCTCTTTGGAAAACAGACTTAGCACAAAGGTGGGGGCCTCTTGCCATACCCAAACCATGTAGTAATTTAGAAAGAGCCATATATACCTCACAAGCTAGGTGCTACTGAGCAAAGGAAGCCAAACAAGGTTAAATCTCTTTATTGACTCCCTCATTCCCCCAATTCCCTGTCCCCCACACAGTACTGCTAGGAGCCTTCCTCAGATTCCAGGCCCAGGGTCTCCCTGCGAGTACCAGGCCTATATGCTCCCCGGCCCCGAGGTAGGTGGGGGTAGGAAGAACCTGGTGTATGGCCTTTGGAGCGTTCCCACCGAGCACAGTCCCGAGTCCTGCGGGATGGGGGGCCCTGCCAGCCACCAGACCCCTTCTCTTGGGGAAGACCTTCAAGCCCTTGGTTATGGGGTTCTGGCTTTAAGTCCACAGGCGCCTTGAGAGGCTTCTCAGGAGGTGGCAGTTCTTGGGTATCACTGGTACCTTTTGGGGCATAGCACTCCCCTCCTTTCAGATGCCTCTGGTCAGACTGTCGCCAGGAGCCCCGACCAGACCGTGGAGGATCTAACATGGATTTCTGGGTCTCACCCAACCTCTGTTGATTTAGCCCAACTCCTGGAATCTTCTCATGCACATACTGGGTGGCCACAGGTAGAGGAGTTGGCAGAGTTGATTGGGCAGCTGGTGAAGTGGACTGTTCTGCAGCAAGGGGATTGGGTGGCTGGTGTCCTCTAGAGACATCTATAACTGATTCAGGTTCCAGAGGGGCAGGAGGCTGGAGAGAAAAGAGGAACTGCATCAAGGAAGACCCCTCTCCACTATCAGCCAGCTTTAACCAGTCTCAATCTGTAATCTCCCTGGGCAGAACAAAGTATACCCTAGGGCCATAGGAAGGCTGGAGGCATTGAAGGCCAAGAGGACCCTTTCCTCACCTGCTGGAGGCTGATGAAGTACCGGTTCCGCTCAGCCTCAATGTCAATGATGCCGCCCCTCTCCTGCTGCCTCTGATAGAGCCGCTTGAGCTCTTCCTGCTGGTGCAAGCTCTCTGCACTGGGTTGATACAGCTCCTTGGAGGAAAGGAAGCAGAATGGTAGGGAGAAAAAACATGAGAAGGCAGAAGACTTGAATCCCTATTCTTCAAGGATTGTTCATACAAGGTTGAGCCACACAAGGTTCTTGTGTTTTTTGTTTGGTTGGTTAATTGGTTGTTTGGTTTTTTAGATAGGGTTTCATATAGCCCAGGTTGGCTTTGAACTTACCATGTGCCCAAGCATGACCCTGATTTCTCATCCTCCTGGCTCTATTTCCCAAGTGCTGGGATTACGTTTCCACCACAGCACTGGCTTTTTTTAGTTTTGGTTTTTGTTAATATTTTATGTGTATGAATGTATTGTGTCCATGTATATAAGTATACCGGTGTCATGCAATGCCCACAGAGGTCAAAGGAGGGCTTTGGATCCCCTGAAACTGGAGTTATGGATGGTTGTTAGCCACCATGTGGGTGCTGGGAATCGAGCCCAGGTCCTTTGCAAGGAGCAGTGCTCTTAACCACTGAGCCTTCTCTTTAGCCCCAACACAGGGTTTTTCAATGCAGTGCTGGCAGTCAATCCCAGGGCTTCATGCATGCTAGGCAAACATGCTACCAACTCAGCCTTGTTCTCAATATGAGTTCTTGGTTTTGCCCCTCAGAGTTGGGTTCCTGAAACTTTAGGCTCCTGGTGGGGGCTGTGGCTTTGCAGAGTAATCCTAAATAAGTCAAACCCAGCTCCAGAGAACTCAGTAAAGACAAGACGCCATTTCTCTCCTTGGAGAAAACAATGGTCCTGGCTCAGACCAGAGGAAGCCCCTTACCATGGGTTGTTGGGGTTCAGGGGCTGCTTTCAGCGAGGCAAGATCATACACAAGGGGTTCCCTGCACACAGGACACTGCACACCGACTGCCTTCTAAAACAAAAGGAGAAATCACATCCTACTCCCTCTCAGCCAGCCATCTTTGGAGGGCTGGGATTGAAGGGTACAGGCATTAGCTGCTCAGCAATGAGGTGGTACAAAGGAGGGAGGGACTGCCCAAGGAGAGGTCTGGGGGCATCCTGAAGCTGCATGCAATGTCAGTGTACATAAGGAATCCCTTCTTTCTGGGCAAGGGTGAGATTAACCTCAAAGGTATCTGTAACTAAAAAGATGAAAAGCTACTGGAGTAGATGGATGGAAATGGATGTCAAAGTCTAAGGGTGTCAGGTAAGAGAGCAGGGGCTGGAGATGTCTACCTGTTTAATAACAGCATGCTGTCGCTCCTGTTCCTGTCCTTGTGTCTTCAGCTCTTGCTCCATGTGCTGGATGTACCGTGCAAGGCAGTGGCAGTGGAAGTAGTGGTAACAGGGTGTTTTGGTAAAAGCCTCCTTTTCCTGTAGGGGACAGATGTGGAATCCTGTATCAGTGCCCACTCACTAGCCCTCATCTGCCTACCCAAGCATATCCCAGGTCCCAAATGAAAAACCCACCTGAAAACCATAGAGGCAGATGACACATTGGCCATGGGGGATGTTGTTGTCTGTGAGAATTTCCTTTCCTTTCTGAGAGGAGAAAAGATGCTGCTCAAACATGGAGGCAGGGATTGCGAGCACAGCCTGTGTGTCTTCCTCCAGGAGTGACTAGACATGATGCCCAACCACACCAGCTTATTACTTTCTGCTTACCCGTCCTATCGTGATAATGTTCTATTTGCAAGCAATCTTCCACATTCCTGTCCTTCCCTCCCAAATTTGACCTTCCTGTCTTCAAAATTCAAGTCAATTCTTTTTCCTGTACTAAATCACTTTTAATACATCTTGAAGATAAAAATAATATACCTTGGAGAGAATTATTTGGTTAAAACTTAACTTCACCAAGGCATGGAAGATTCAATCCCAGCACTCAGGAAGCTGAGGTAGGAGATTGCTTTGAGTTCAAGGCCAGCCTGGGCCTATACAGTGAGACTCTGTTTCAAAAGTGCAAAAGAGCAAACAAACAAACAAAAAACACCTCATTTTCATTTTCTGGGAGGCCTCTTTCTGTCTGAGCTAGAGGTCTTTCTTTGTTGTTCAGGCTAGCCCAAGTTCCTGGGCTCGAGTGATTCTTTAGCTTCAGATTTCCACATGGCTAGGACTGTTGGCACATGCTACTGTGCTGGATTTGAGAGGTCTTTTTTTTTTTTGTCTTTTTGAAGCAGGGTCTCCCTGTAAGCCCCAGCTGTCCTGGAACTCACTATGTAGACCAGGCTGGCCTTGAACTCACAGAGATCCACCTGCCTCTTCCTCCCAAGTGCTGGGACTACAGGCGTGCGCCACCACGCCCAGCTGAGAGGTCTTTCTTAATAGTCCTCAGGTATAATTCTTCCATGGGGCACTGAATTTGTTCTGGGGTTGGCTTTCAAAAAGAAAGACAAGACACAGGCAACCCAAATGATCAGAAATCAAAAGGCATCAGGTTGACGGTATATGAAATACGCATTAGCATTAGCTAATATTCTGCAATTCCAGCAGCCAAAGCTGCACTGGGGTCTGACCTAGACTGCTACAGTGGTCTAAACAACCACTCACCAACTCTTGGCCACCCACCTTCACTGTATTTTGAACATTTTTCTTAAAAAAAAAAAAAACAAACCCCAGGGCTGAGTGTGGTGGCACATGCCTTTAGTCCCAGTACTAAAGGAGGCAGAGGCAGGTAGAGCTCTGTGAGTTCAAGGATAGCCTGGTTTACATAGTGAGTTCCAGGCCAGCTGGGGCTATAGGGATACAGGAAGACTCTACCTCAAAAAGACCAAAAAAAAAAAAAAAAAAATTCCCAAGTAGAGGAAAACAAGATTGACCTTTTGTGTTTTTAATCTCAACAACAAAAGTTATCTGTATTTTAACTTGTTACTCTATGCATCACTTCATGTGAGTTATTTCCTTAACAAGATGGAGAGATGGCTCAGCAGTTAAGAGCACTGACTGCTCTTCCAGAGAACCCAGTTTTGATTCCCAGCACCCACATGGCGGCTAAGAACTGTCCTTAACTTCAGTTTCATAGGGGAATGTGACGTCCTCTTCTGACCTCTGTGTACAACAGGGGTACACTTACACACATGTAGGCAATACACTCATAAAATTAAAATAATAAATATTTTTTTTTTTTAAAATAAAGAACAAAGCCACAACAAAGTAAAAGAAGGAAAGTACTTTTCTATCAAGATGCTGGAAGAGGCAACTTGAAGAAACTCCTGAACTATTTTTTGGGAGGTTTATTTTTTGAAATGTTGGCATAAATATTATAAATTATGGTCTTACCGAAACAAGGACTAAATAAAATGACTACAGATATATTTTTAAGATTCACTTGAGAAAAAAGACTGCTCTGGCTTGAAAGGAAAGACATTTTCCCAGGCCAGCACACCTTACCTCAATGAGTTCATAGAGCATGGCTGTGCCTAGCCTCTCCTTGGCCACATGGCTCAGTGCCTGTGAGATCCTGGAAGGGAATGAAGTCAGTATTAAGACAGTGCCTTTCCTCAGCAGTCAGAACTGAATTCCAAGTTTCCTTGCTCTTAGTAGCCCAACTTACTTGTGGATCTGCTCATCTGAAAGTCCTCGGGGGTTACGGATAGAGATCTGTGGCACTTCGTGGGGATACTAGTACAAGAAAGCAGAAAATTATCATCAAAGTGACCCACCCCAGGGACTCTCCCTTTCCTCCCTTTCCTATGAAGTAAGAGCCTTACCTGCACTGGGACCTGAAGCACCAGAGTAAAGCAGACGAACTGCGAATCTTGGTCCTCTGCAGTGGCAGGATGCAGAGTGATAAAGATCTCCCATGGTGAAGATCTGCAGGTGGATGAAGTGGAGACCCAGGATGTGACTGGGCAGGGGCTTGAAAGCTAGGGAGGAGGGGGTGAGATAGTAAAAGCAGGCAAAGAATGGGGGGGGCGTTAAAAGAGTAGCTTTTGTTTATAGGACAGACATTATCTCTGAGTCAAGGCTCACAGTATCCTAAGACCAGATTCTGCACAGAATTATTGACTCCTGCCCACCCCTGGTTGAGTACATACCTGCCATTTCCTTTCATCACCTGTAGTTCATCCAGATAGATAGACTCTAATACTTCAACTTCTGAGGGAAGGACCCTAGAGAGTCAGGGGGAGACTGAGTCACCACTATAGCTCTCCTTGAAGAAGCCTGCTAAGGCTGATGACAGCCGAATTAAAAAAATATATTCTCTTGCCAAATTATCCTTTAAAATAAGTATTTCCTTAAGTTGTCAAGGCTGATGAAAGCCAAATTAAAAAAATATATTCTCTTGCCAAATTATTCTTTAAAATAAGTATTTCCTTAAGTTGTCAATGGGTAAGGTAGGAAGCATAGGAATCAGGATTTTAGAGATCACATCTCCCAACCTGAGCAAATAGATTCCTAGAGAGATGAAATGACTGGCCAAGGCTTGACTCAGGCAGAATTGACCAGAGTGGGCCTGACAACTCTATTCAAAATTTATTCTACAGCTGATTATCCTTTAATGGCCATCTCTTTTACCTAAATATATGGCATCCATCCATTACTAACAAGGTTACCAATACTACTACTGCCTTTTTCTATACTATTTTTCAGCACAGGTCCCTGGACCCTGGCTACTGCCAGCATATACTGTCAACACCAGTCACTCTTAAGCCTCCTCAAAGGGCATACCAACATGAACAAGTCTAGATGGTATAAAGGCTATACTACAATAAAAGAGCTATAGGTCTTCAAGTTAAGCATAAATAGAAACTACTTACCAGCTATGTGGTCTAGACACTCAACTTATTTTTGTAAGCCTGAGTTACACATTTTGTCACATATAGATAATACAACATACTCATTAGGATTATTGTGAGAATTAAAATAGATATATAAAGTGCTTAAAAGTGTCTCAGCCATAGTAGCTAATCTAAGTTTTATGCCTCCCTCCCCATTTGTATATAGCCTTCTCATTTAAAAGGTAAAGGGGGAATCTGAGTCCTCTGGGTATGTTCATGACCCTGGATGTCTACTTGACCCAGATCAGCCTGTCCAGGATAGGATCCATGGTCCTGATATAAATCAGAGGGCACACATTAAAACATAGAAACAGCAACTGTAATACACTGAAGATGAGTGACTGAGTCCACAACCCTATCCAGGTGATACATGGAAAGATGCATCTTTGTTTTCTTAGTTTCCTTTCCATCTAGAGGGAGCATGCCCTAGCATGACCTTTATCAGTGGTTCTTTTATTATTACCATTGTTTTTAAGCTTTAGGCAGAAACCTTAAAATATGAAGCTTTATATCTCACAAATAACAAGAACTTGTAGTTGACCCAGACTAATACAATCACTGCTACTCTCTCCTGGCTCGAGTCCCTTCATAAACGTAGAAGTTCCTTCTAACAGTGAAAATACTAGTCTAAATGGTTTTAGAAAGGAAACCAGACTTGGCTCCTTGAACCAATGTTAACACTGAGGTGTAGTGTCAGTCAAGAGGTCCTTCAGTACTCTGCCCACCTTAGCTGTGACTTGAATCTTGGATGTGAGAGACAAACTGGGATAGTGACAAGGGGGTGACAGAAGGGTGTGTGGATAGTGGTGTCCTAATACTAAGACCTCAAGTCAGACAGACCTCCTTCCAGGCTGATATAGTCTCTTGTCCTATACTTCAGTGTTGAATGAAAAGTAGGCTTGTGTGTATTACCATCCATGGTGATGCTCTCCAACTACACTGTGAGGTAATGCCACTCCCACTTTTTTACAGCTGATAATGACTCACAGAAGCTAGGTGGTCTGGTCAGCATCACCCAGCTAATAAAATATGCAGTGAACACACCTTCATCCTATGTCCAAATCCCAAAGTCCTTCAAGGCTCAGGTCTCCTGTTAAGAATGCTTGAGGGGGCTAGGAGGGCTCTGTGTGGAGCCTAAGGCTGTTCTGACAATAGTTCTTATTAGTGCTGTCGGGGAGAGGGAAGAGTGAGGAAAGCTGAAGCGGAAATGGTTTGATCCAAGGGGCAAAAGGGACGCGAGCTGGAGGACATCCGTTGCGAAAGGCAGAAGGTGTGATGATGAGCAGGCATCCTCTAGGCCCCAGAGAAAAATCACAGCAGGGGGAAGGGAGAAGGGTAGGACAGGAGGACAGGGCCTTGGAGCCGATGAGGCGTGGCCCAGACTAGCCAGGCAGGCGCAGACCCAGTCCCCTCCTAGCAGCGTCCCTCCACCCTCCGTGCCAGAAGCTCTCCTAGAAGGGATGTCAGGGTCCCTGCCACCCCTCATCCCTCGCTCCACCCCACAAGCCCGCTGTTCGTCTGATCTGCGGCTGCTGCAAGTTCCCGGCGCCACATCCAGGCGGCCGACCAAAACCCATGACCCAAAGTTACCAGTCCTCCTCCCCGGCAGCTGCCGACTCAGACACCGCCATGTCTTCTCCCGCCCAGAGCCGGAACCGGAAATACCTTTTGGGAAGTCAGAGGCGAAAACTAGGGCGGGGCGGGAGACTGGGAAGCTTGAGCCGTTTCTAAGCAACCGAGGCTTCTGGGTCCTTTGTGGGGCCTGATAGCCAAGCGACGGAAGTGCCCTAGAAAGTGCCAATGGGCGGTTCGCGTCCGGCCCACTCCTCTGAGAACTTTGTCCTCTAAACTTCTGACCAGTTCTAAGGAGTAAAAGTGGTAAGAATGGGACATAAAGAGAACAGCAAGAGGAGTGGAGAAAAGTAATGCCGGCGGCAGGAAGGGTCCGGGCTGCAGTTAAGAGCGGGTAGCCCCTCCGGCCTGGGGAGCTCGAAGCTCCTCGGCTGGGAGTCAGAGGAGGACCCTGGCCAGCCGAAGTCAGGATTGGGAGTTCCGAGCGGCGGTGCTGGGGATGCAGGAACTTAGGAGACAATAGAAGAAGCCGGCCCAGGTGCACCTTGCTGGTGAAGAAGGAGAAAGGAGCCCCTAGGCATCCGGCTGGGGTGGGGACTCCTAGATCAGTGATCAAGATAACATCTTTCCATCCACTTCACCCTGCCCTGAATTTGAGGTCTGATTGTTGTGAAAAAGAGGAAGAGGCAAAGGTGACAAGGTTTATTTTTCTGCGTGTCAGGCTTTCCAGATGTGTGGAACTGTTCTTGGATCTACAGCTCTTCGCCACCGCCTACCGTCTTCCTACTGAGAGACCCTGAAACCTTTGCCATGGAAAAGTACCACGTCTTGGAGATGATTGGAGAAGGCTCTTTTGGGAGAGTGTATAAGGGCCGAAAGAAATACAGTGCTCAGGTGGTGAACAAAGATATCTTTTGAGTGGGATTTGGTGTCCACTACAGTAGAAACTGGGGACCAAAGAGGGATGCATTTAGACCGGCGTGTATTCCTAGTCCCTGGCTCCAGCATACTTTTTAGAGCATATGAACTCTGAAATTTGATTACCTGGATTCAGATCCCAGTTGCACTACTGTCCTCCCTTAGAACTGTAGACAAACTACATAAGCTCCCCATACCTCAATTTCCTCAACTGTAGAATGAGGGATGATTGATCGAATCTGAGGATTAAATGTTTCACACTAAATCAGCAAAATACCTGATACCTACTGAACAACAAAAATCATCACTATCATACTATGTAAGAAAAGACAAACCACTTGAAATCTATTCTTCCCTCTTCATTTTTCCTTCTCTTTTCTCTAAATCATGAGTCCTTTGGTTAGCTCAGAAAATATTTCGCAGAGCCCATAAAAGGGATCCGTTTGGCAGAGGCTTTTTCCTCTTGGTGAGAAGTGGGCAAAGCCAGGGCAAGTCTAAAGTACTATGGGGGAAAGTAGACGTGGGAGGTTAGCACATATACTAAGAGTTGTTCAAGCAATATAAAGTCTTTGAGTTGAGCTATGAGGTAAATGTTGGAATCCTCACACTTTTCAGTGGTGTGGTTAGGCCTTGACTCTTCACTTTACCACTGGCAGGTGGTGGCCCTGAAGTTCATACCAAAACTGGGGCGCTCAGAGAAGGAGCTGAGGAATTTGCAACGAGAGATTGAAATCATGCGGGGTCTGTGGCATCCCAACATTGTGCATATGCTCGACAGCTTTGAGACTGACAAAGAGGTGTGTGTTTGATGGTATTGTATTACCTCTGCCCAAGCTCAGGGGCCCTAGGCATTTCCCAATCACAGAGTGCATGACTGTTCCATCAGTGTCGCTGCCTTCTCCCTGCAGGTAGTGGTGGTGACAGACTATGCCGAGGGAGAGCTCTTTCAGATTCTGGAAGATGATGGAAAACTTCCCGAAGATCAGGTATGTTTCCTGGTTTAAATGATCCCATACCCCTGATCACTCTCTAAGTGAAGAGCTACAGGGTAAGCTGAGGGCATCAAGAGTTCATTTGAGTGTGTGTATGGGTATGTGTGAGTGCCTGTCTGTGTATGTGTCCACGTATGTGTGTAGGTACGTGTGCCTGTGTATGCGTGTGTGTAGAGGCCCGAGATTGGTATAGTCTTCCTCAATTGCTTTCCAGCGGCTTTTTTTTTTGGGGGGGGGTTTGAGACAGGGTCTCCCTATAGCCCCAGCTATCCTGGAACTCACTATGTAGACCAGGCTGGCCTTGAACTCACAGGGATCCGCCTGCCTCTGCCTCCTGAGTGCTGGGATTAAAGGCGTGTGCCACTATGCCCGGCTTGCTTTCCAGCTTTTAAAAAATTTTTATTATTTTTATTTTATGAATGTATTGCCTGCATGTGTGTAAGTGCACCCACATTGTGTAATGCCCAAGGAGGTTAGAAGGGGTGTCGGATTCCCTTGGAACTGGAGTTAGAGATGGTTGTTAGCCATTATGTGGGTGCTGAGAATAGAACAGCCAGTGCTCTTAACCGCTGAGCCATCGCTCCAGCCCTCTAACTTATTTTTTGAGACTGAATCTCACAGAGCCAGTAGGTTACTGGTTAACTGAACTGGCTGACCAGCAAGCTCTAAGAATCTGCCTATCTTTACCCCTTACCCTACCCCCAAACACTAGGGCTGCAGGTATGTGACACTATGCCTGGCTTTTAACATGGGTTCTGAGAATCTGAACTCAGATCCTCATACTTATGCAGTGGTCACTTTACTGACAGTCATTGCCTCAGGACCAAGGGTTCATTTGGAGGGGGGCTATAATTTATTTGTATTTTATGTATATGAATGTTTTGCCTACATGTATGTAAGTGTACCTGTGTTGTGTGTTGTCCATGGAGGCCAGAAGAGGGTGTTGGATCCTCTGGAACTGGAGTTCAGGACTATTGTTAGAGGCCATGTGGGTGCTTGAAACCAAACCCAGGTCCTGTGGATGAACAGCCAGTGCTCTTAACCACTGAGCCATCTCCAGCTCCACATATTTGAAGAGTGCTGTTCTAGTTTTTGTTTCTCCATTGCTGTGACAGAATACTCTGACCAATACCAACTTGGGGAGGAAGGGGTTTATTTGGCTTACATCTCCTGGCTCACAATTCATCAGTGACCCCAAGGTAGGAACTCAGGGCAGGAGCTGGAGCACAGGCCATAGAGGAATGCTGCTTACTGGCTTGTTGCCCTGGCCCCTGCTCAACCTTCCTTCTTATACAATACAGAACCACCTGCCCAGGAGTGGCACCATCCATGGTGGGCTGGGCCCTCCCACATCACTCAACTCAAGAAAATGCCCCACATTCATGGCCACAAGCCAGTCCAATGGAGGCAGTCCCCAGTTGAGGCTCCCTCAACCCAGGTGTGTCAAGTTGACAACTAAAGCTCTCCAGCACAAGTCCCGAGAAGAATACAAGATTCTAGGTGTATCCAGAGGCAGTGTGGTGTGAGAGTAAAGTATGTGAACACTGGAGCCACAACATCTGAGTACAAATCTTGGCTCTGCCCCTCAGTAGCTGGGTCCCCATGGACCAATCCATCTCTTTGTGTTTAGGGCCTTCACTGGTAAAATGGATATATTAATAATATTGGGGCTGGAGAGATGGCTCAGCGGTTAAGAACACTGGTTGTTCTTGCAGAAGACCCGGGTTCGAATCCCAGCACCCACATGGCAGCTAACTGTCCGTAACTCCAGTCCCAGGGGATCTGACAGCTTCTTCTGTCCTCAGCGGGCATTGTACAACACGGGTGCACTTCCCTACATGCAGGCAATACACGCATACACATGAAAAATAAAAATAGTAAATAAAAATGAAAAAAAAATCTACCTCATAATTCTATTGTGAGAATTAAGGAATTAACACATCAAGGTGTTTAAACAGCTATTACTAGTGTTGTGAATATTGGTCATTGTTATTAAGTACATTTAAGGAAACAAGGGCCAGTATGGTGGTGCTAGAGAAGACAATAAGAGAATAAGCGCTGTGGTTGAACGGGAATCACCATTAGAAAAGAGCAGTGACATTTGGTTGAGTAGTGTCTAGCCACATTCATTCTAGGGATTTCTCTCTTCTTAACCTTCCATCCCAAAAATCCTACCACAGAACTTTCTCCTCTGTGCATTCATCACTACTTGTAAATAATCACCTTAGGCTGGCATGCAGCTCAATTGGTAGAGTGCTTGCCTAGCATGCAAAAAGCCTTAGGTTTGATTCCCAGTATCACATAAACTGAATTTGGCGACCCATGCCTGTAATTCCAGCACTGGTGAGGTAGAGGCAGGAGGATAGAAGGATCAAAAGTTCAAGGTCATCCTCAGCTACTTAGCAAGTTGGAAGCCAGCCTGGAATATATAAGACTATCCAAACAAACAAACAGACAAAAAAGTAATTGTCTTATTTTTTTTGTCTGTCTTCAGTGACTACCTCTCTTGAGAAAAGGGATTTTGCCTTATTTAAAACAAATAATATGTACAAAATCTTTCCTGTGCACCAGACATGGTTCTGAACATTAATTTATATGTTTTCACTGCTTTAGTCCATAAATAACCCTATAAGGTAGGTGGTATATTATCTTCACCTTATAGATGAGGAGGCTGAGAGAGGCACACCAAAATACAATCTGTTCATGGTCATAGCTACAGCTAGTAAGTTAGATTCAATAGATTTTCCTTGAATAAATGAATAATAAGTAAAAGAATGAATTAACAAAGGGAATGAGAATCAGGGAAGGTACAATGTGAGGTTCTGGAAGGGAGGGAAGAACAAGATCCAATTAGCCTCAGTACTAAGAAGTCTTCAGCTTGTCAGCGGTCTCCTCCTCTGACCTTTTCTTTCTTCTCCCTGTCTGCCTGACCCCTAGGTTCAGACCATTGCTGCCCAGTTGGTATCAGCCTTGTACTATCTGCATTCCCACCGAATCTTACACCGAGACATGAAGCCCCAGAACATTCTTCTTGCCAAGGGTGGTGGCATCAAACTCTGTGACTTTGGGTAGGTTTTTGAGCTTCCATCTGTGCTGTTGCACAAACATGGGCCTTGTGTTAGAACTAGAGCTGGAGTTTGGGCCTCTGGCCTGGGTCTTTGGAACTAATCAAAGGTGCTCTGTCTGCTTTATTTCAGGTTATCTCGTACACAAACAGGTAGCAAGTGACCAGATTTGATTTTCATATATATATTTCATATATATACACACACATATATATATACATATATATGTATATGTGTGTGTATATATACATATTGGTCTTTCTTTTTGAGATAAGGTCTCCCTGTAGCCCCAGCTGGCCTGGAACTCTGTGTAGACCAGGCTGGCCTTGAACTCACAGAGATCCACCTACCTCTGCCTCCCAAGTACTGGAATTAAAGGCATGTGCCACTACACTTGGCTCTTTTTTTATATTTTTATTATATTTATTTTGCTTGTGGGGATGTGGACACACATATGCCATAGCACATATATGGAGGTCAGAGGATAACTTGCAGGTGTCACTTCTCTTCTTCTATCTGTGGGTCCTGGAGATCAAACTCACGTCCTCAGGCGTGGTTGCAGGTGCCTTCGCCACTGAGCCATCTCATTGGCTTCTGCTCCTAGATTTAATTTTCTAGTTGTAAGTAGGTCTAAAATATCTTTTTCCTTTCCATTTTTAAAAAAGGTTTTATTTAACTGGGCATGGTGGCATACACCTTCAATCTCAGCACTTGAGAGGCAGAGACAGGCAGATCTCTGGGAGATTGAGGCCATCCTAGTCTACATACCAAGTTCTTGCCCAGCTGGGGCTACAGGGAGATCCTTTCTCAAAAAACAAACAAAGAGGGGGGCTGGAGAGATGGCTCCGTGGTTAAGAGCACTAGCTGCTCTTGCAGAGGACACAGGTTCAATTCCTAGCACCCACGTGGCAGCTAACAACCGTCTGTATTGTAATTCCAGTTTCAGAGGATCCAACACCCTCTTCTCGCCGCTGTGGGCATTGCACGATACAGGTGCACTCACTCACATACATCCAGACAATACACTCATACACATAAAATAAAAATAAATAAATTAAATGGCTCAGCGGTTAAGAGTGCTGACTGCTCTTGCAGAGGACCTGGGTTTGATTCCCAGCACCCACATGGCAGCTATGAACCGTCCTTAACTCCAGTTCCAGGGGAATCCGAAATCCTCTTCTGACCTCTGCTGCATTGCACGACACAGGTACACTCACATACATGCAGGCAATACACTCATACACATAAAATAAAAATAATTTTAAAAATTTTTAAAAAATGAAACAAAAAAATCTTATTTATGAGTATTTTTCTTGCATGTATGTAAGTACACCGTGTGTGTGTGTGTGTGTGTGTGTGTGTGTGTGTGTGTATGTGTGTGTGTGTGTATGTGTGTATACAATACCCACAGAAGCCAGAAGAGAGCATCACATGTCCAGGAACTGGAGTTACAGACTGTTGTTAGCTGCCATGTAGGTTCTGGGAACCAAACTTGGGTCCTCTTCAAGAGCAGTAAGTGCTCTTAATCACTTAGCTGTCTCTCCAGCCGCTTCCTTTCCATTTCTATCCCATCACCTGCTGTAGATTTGCCCGGGCTATGAGCACCAACACCATGGTGCTGACATCTATCAAAGGCACACCACTCTATATGTCTCCAGAGCTGGTGGAGGAGCGACCGTATGACCACACAGCAGACCTCTGGTCAGTTGGCTGCATCCTGTATGAGCTGGCTGTAGGCACCCCTCCCTTCTACACCACAAGCATCTTTCAACTAGTCAGCCTTATTCTCAAAGACCCTGTGCGCTGGCCCTCCACCATCAGTCCCTGCTTCAAGGTAATGAGAGTTAAAGGGGGATTACTTTTATACGAGAAAGCTGTCTTCTTCTACTTCTGCTCTGTTTTCCAAAATCCTTTTCCAGGGTTGGCATAGGACTCTGCAGGAGCTGGGGCAAGCAGCCTCACTTTTCTACTGCAGGAACATTGTCCCAGGAGTGTATTCTAAGGTCTTAAGAATGATAGCTCCTGGCTGGGCATGGTGGTGCATGCCCGTAGTCCCAGCACTTGGGAGGCAGAGACAGGCAGATCTCAATGAGTGCAAGGCCAGCCTGGTCTACATAGTGAGTTCCAAGCCAGCTGGGAATACAGGGAGACCCTGTTTCAAAAAGACAAAAAGAAAAAAAAGAATGGTAGCTTCTGGTAGCTAGAGAGATGGCTCGGTGGTTAAGAGCACTTGCTCCTCTTCCAGAGGACCCGGGTTCAGCACCCACATGGAAGCTAACAACCTTCCATAGCTCCAGTTCCAGGGGGTCCAATGCCTTTTTCTAACCTCTTCAGGCATTGCACAGCATGGGTGCACTTACAAACATGCAGGCAATACACTCATACATATAAAATAAAAACAATAAAAATTTTTTTTTTGGTCTTTTTGAGACAGGGTCTCCCTGTAGCCCCAGCTGTCCTGGAACTCACTAGATAGACCAGGCTGGCCTTGAACTCACAGAGATCCACCTGCCTCTGCTTCCCGAGTGCCCAGCCAAAGAATAATTTTTTTAAAAATAGAATGGTAGCTGCTGCAACCCAAGCAGGTAAGCTGTGCCTTACCATATCAGAGAGTAATTTCAAGCCACCAGGAGGAAAGAGATACGGGTCCTTTTACATACCCTCTTGTGATGGCTAATCCTGGGTGTCAACTTGATTTGATCTGAGATTAACTGAAATGAAAGAGATCTTCTTGATTGGATCATCTAAAGCCGGAAGACACACCCTAAATGTGGGTGTTACCTTCTGATGGCAGCCGGTAATGTGGGCGTTACCTTCTGATGGCAGAGGTTATAAAAGACCAAGGCAGAGGAGAATGTGGGGCTTTTTGCAGCTTGCCTTCTCTCTCGCTGGTGAGTTCGTCTTGCTGCTGTAGACTAGCTGATATTTTGGAATTTGTCAGACCTTCAGCACCAGATTGGGACTACTGAGACATCCAGCCTTGTGGACTGAGCGACTACAGATTCTCAGCCTCTCCAGTGTGGTGCAGCCATTAGCCATTGT